TGCCCTGACCTCCACCAAGTACCCTTCCTGACAGGTGAGGTGGGTGGGACTCTGTGGCCTGAATGGGAGCATGATTTCAGAAAGTCATAGGAGAAAGAGTGCTGGACTGAGAAAGGTCTGAAAACTCTAGAAGAGTCTGTGGTGTATGACCTTTGAGGTCCCTGCCTGCTGTACGTTTCCATGCCTGGACTGGCTCTTCTAGTTATACAGCATGACGGAAGGTGTGAGGGTCTTCTACCTGACACTGGGAAGAATCAAACCAAGGATGGGGAAAAATCATCCAGGGCAATTGAATGCTGGGAACCGCGTCAATGGAAAGTCCTCTCGGCAGCGGCTTCATGATACTTTCAGCATTCATTTAAGACATCTTCTGGTGACATGTTGTGGATCTTTTTAATTCCGTGGCCATCACAGAGATGGCGTACTGCCTGTGTTTCTAATTGATGGGGACAGTTGTTGACAGAGCATTGCCTTTGGGATTGCTGGCATTATGGCTCTTTTTTTTTTTTCTTTTCCAAAATAAACCCTGTAACATAGAACTAAAACCCCAGAATAAGCTCCAGATGTAACATTTTCCTTCTCCAGCTGTTGAAGTCCATTTTATCTGATTTTTTGTTTTATTTAGTTTGGTGTGGCTTAGCAATCAGAAAACAGTTAACCATTACTCATTCTAAAAAGGGATCCAAAATAGGAACATTTCCAAATTTGAAGCATTTCTTAAAAGGAGCCTGGATCCAAAATTCTGACTTTATCTTTATCAGATGCTTTTGGCAATGTTGAAGAAATCTTCTGGGAGAAATTTAATAAACATTTCTTGGAGGGACAGCACAGAGTGCAAACGTCAGGGTGCCTCTACAAAATGCATTGCCAACCTGATTTCTGAACAATGCTTTTGCACACTCTGAGCTGTGTGTTCCAGCATTTGGAGTTCTAATTACAAAAATCCAAAACTGCTTCTAGATTCTTCTCCTTCGTGACCACCCTAATATTATTCAAGCACTTGCCTAACATAAGCATTTCTTCTCTGATAGAAACAGGAACCTGAAATTAATGCACACTGAGATCATAGCATTTTAACTTCTGACTTTATTCTTTTTCCCCTCAAACGAACAGGTGATAAAACACTGTCTGTGTACAAAGCAAAAGGTATGGCCTCCTCTTCTCTTCTTTCACAGAGTGCCAGAAAATGTAAACAATATTTAGGTTGAACTTCTGAGTCCTCTGAATTCTCTGTCAGCCTTCAGAACAACATTCGTTTGTTTGTTTACACCAACATTTAACAGCATAAAGAGTAAAACAAGCAAACAGTCTGAGGCATTTATAGGAAGTGTTCAGATTGTGATACAGTCTTGTATCTGCATCGTTTTTACTCTGACAAAGAAAAACATTGCTTTAGGAAGTGGGTCATGTGGGTGTATAAGTGCTTCGTGGACAGGCCGGATATGCCATGGTTCTGGTCTGAGTACCACTGAAACACAAAGGGAAGAAACCTGTTTTATTCCTGCAGACACACAATGCATCCAGCTTTGGCTTTTTGTCCTCTCAGGACCTGATAATTTTTCTAATATTATGGCTGGAATTCTACCTAAGAACACTTGCATAAATAAAATAGGTTACAGGTAAACATTTAGAACAGGAAGATTTAAAGCCTTTTTATTAACCTTCACTACTGTTTCATATTTTTCAAACTTCTATTTTGAGATCTCGGTGGCTGAACTTCCACGGCGGCCAGCATCCTGGGTTCCAGAGCTGGGGCGTTAGGTCCGTTACTTTGCTGCTCTGGAGCTTGGTTTCCTCATTTGAAAAATGAGGGGGTTGGCTTTGATTTTCTCTAAGGCTCTTTCTAGCTCAAAAATTCCATGAATCTAATTCCTATCTGTTGCAGAAAATTCACAATACGTGTAACTGTAAACACCCTCCATAGGAGATGGTATTACAAATTGAAACTTTATTGCTGGAGAGTTGCCAGTAAGATTATTGCTTTCATTGAATAAAGGTGGCTAGTGGTTATTGATGTAATGCTATGTACTTATGAGTTGAATTTACTTTGGGAATCACAATTTCAAAAATGGGTGAATGGGGTAAAAAAAAGATCAGAAAAATCTCACCTCACCCTCTTTAAATTATTTTAAGAAACCAAATTTCCAAAAGATGGGGGTTTCCTTTTGTAGGTGCTTGGGCAACATAAGCAAGTGAGGGAGAATTTATGTTCCCTGAAGAGGGGGAACAATAGCCACCAGGGATTGTGTCCCTTGCTTTGGCTTTTGCCTTATTTTCCTCTCTGTTTCCATTTCCCATTCTTCATGCAACCGGATTTCACAGCTAGCTCATTTATTCATTTACTCAGTAAAAGTATGACCTTCTGTGATGGGCCGACCACACGCCAGGCACTGAGAACACAGAGCTGGAAGGATTCTCTAACTCTGTGGAACCACCTGATTTCAGGGAGCCTCTGAGGTCTCATAACATTCTGCGATTGCTTCTTACTGAATAAACAGAATCTTCTAGCTTCTTTGAGCCTCTCAGATTTTACAGGGACTCTAAGCACATAGCTACACTTAATACGTAGGACCACAGAACTATTGGATGTTTGAGCTAGAAGATCCTCTAAGCTTGTGGATGCCTTTATTTTATATATGACTCAACTGGGATCAACAGAGGTGACATGGTTGGACTAGTGTCCTTCAGGGAGTTCATGAAAAATCCAAGAGTCATTTGCTAATGTTCTGTCTACTCTACCTTAACAGCCTCCTTGTCAGGTTTTAGTGTAAAAAAAAAAAAAAAGAAGGGTCCTCCTTTTAGCTTAGGGGTCTAAGGCCATGAACATGAGTGAAACAAAATTATGTACCATTGCCTGGAAATCCACTTGTGCATTAACCAGAGCTTTAGCAATCTGTGCTGAGTTTTGAAAGTGCACATTATCTGCAACAAAGAGAGAGAGTTAAAGTGCTGTTAAATACCAGAAAGCACAGAGTGACAATGTACCGCCTGGAAATGAACACCAACAATTATCTAGTCATGCAGTTGACATTGTCAGCAGTGAGTAATCACACTCGCTTATGGAAATGTCCCTGACTCTTAGGTATTGACCCTGAGCACAGGCATAGGAGGATGCTTAATGTTTCTTAAACAAAGTGATGCTGGCTCAGTATTTTTATGTGTAAGAGTCTTGCTTAAACCTCACCATCTGCTGTTCCGTGGATGAGAAGATAGTCTACATTTCTGAAATATTCTGCTCTTGCCATCACAGTTGAATTCTGGAAAAGGGGAAAAATTAACATTTTAGTTGCTGCAAGTTCTAATAGAAAACTAGCTAAATCATTGTGCAATGGACTTAGCACCAATACTGAAATTATGTATTGCTTTGGTTGATAAATATTTAAGAGTCAGAGCAACACATTTTCATCATCATTTGCATTACTTCCATCTGATTCTTAGTTTGAAAAACTGAAAGTTTATGTGTCATATGTTACATATGAGTGAGACCTTAGGCATAAATGATGCCCGCTCAAGCTGTGTAGGAGTAGGGGCTGGGGAGGGGGATGAAGAAAAGGGAAGTTAGGGAAGGAGGATGGGGAAAGAAAAAATAGAATCCAAAAGGAGTCAATTCCTTTTTAATGAGGTGTTTTGCAGCTGACAAAAGATCATCATACTTGCTTTGGGGACCCAGCAAAACTGTAAACTCTGAACGACGGCTTTCCAATTATTTAGCACATTTGAAATCAATTAATGACCTAAATCAAACAGAAAATGCTTACTTTATAATGCTCGAGATTATCATCCTTTGTTGGGAGGCCCATGAATCGCTCTGTGTAGATAGATGCTGTAAAACATATGAGTATATGAGTGTGTTGTTTGCATGTGATATGTGTCATTTCATTAACCAACCAGAACCCCCCACCCCCGAGTTTGATAACTGCTCATCAATCTCCCAGGTGGAGCTGCCGAGGAAGGTCCTTGCTGCCCTTTACTGTAACGCTCCACCCAAGTCATTGGCTCTGCAAGTTGCCTCAGTAGGGCTGGAGAAGCAATGCAGGAGAAGACTGTGGAAACAGGAGCAGCTAACGATAGAAAGGGCTGCTCTTAAACTTCTTCACTTCTACCCAAAGTTCTTCAGTGGGGGGAATGTTGAGCTAGGAATGACCTCATTATATTTTAAAAGAAATCACAAATGCAGCCACCTCTAGTACCTTTATTGGTGTCTTAATTAATTTGGGATGGAACTTTGTCCCCCAAGTCCTCCCCCAAAACACACACACACACACACACACACACATTTTTCTCTGAATGGAGATTCCCTACAAGTCACAACTGTCCCATTTCCACCACAATACAGGGAAGAGGATTTGATGAAAGCTAATTTTCGTGCATTTATTAGAGTTATTTACAAATAATCGTCCTGCCTTGATGTTCATCATAAAAATAGGCACACACGGAAGGTGTACTTCTTGAACAAATTTTTGTTTCTTTGATTTCTAGAGCAATGTAACAGGCAGCTGCAAACGGTGGCATGGCGGTGATTTGCTTGGTCACGTCCTGACTTTCCCTAAGATGTGCTTGAAAGCTAGTTCAGCTGCACCTGTGTGTGTCTGTGAAAACAGGGTTAACTCTGATTTTAAAGATTTGGTTCATCAGGGGGCACACGGTTTCTGGAAGAGAATAACTTACGTTGGGTTTTGGAAGAGTCCTTCCTCGTCTTAAAATTGCTGAGATTATTGCAACATGATTATAATGAATCATATAAACAACCTCATTTATAGATTATATTTTTCCCAGTGATGCTGGGGTGAATTTTACTGCATAATTTGTTTTCCTAGCAACCTTAAATATAGAGTAATTATGTGTTAAATGTTTTCGCAGCAACATTTATGCAATGTTTCCATACCGTAATATTCCCAGCTGGAGACTGGAGCCACTGCTATTCCACATTTGAAAAGACCACTTCCTGAAGCAAGGGCCAGCGATGAAACATACCCTCCGTAGGACTATAGAGACATTGTTACAAGTCAGTCCCAGATTGACTCTCATAAACTCTCTAAGGTATTTGTATAGCAATTCTACCCACAATAAGTACTGATGGGAGCTGGGGAATATGGATAGGGTAGATTAAATGTCTATCTTGCACTCTTGGTAGAAAACTCCACCAGACATGACAACAATTTCAGCTTAGTCAATTACAAATACTTGGTGTGCTGATCCAAACATGGTGTGGGCAGTTTAAGAGATACTATAATTGCAATTTTTCTGCAAAATTCTTTTTTTCCCCCTCTATGTTTTTCCAACCAGGACCTTGCTATGGCAAAAACAGGATTTTTACTTTAAAAAAATACACAAAAAAGAAGATCATTCCCCAAAAGTAAAAGCAAGATACTTCCCACAACGTGCAAAAAACTCCTGTGAGGCAGCACTTATATCTGTATATTTACTCATTTATTTTCATAACAGAACAGCAAGGGAAGGACACAAGAACCTTTTGAGTAGTTTAAGACATGGCCAGAGTCTGTGTATAAGGTAGTGTTACGTATTCTGTTTTGAGGATTTCTGGCATAGCAGCGCAAAGGAGGAAAAGCCACTGGTGTCTTAAAAAATCTTACATGCCCCCCTCCCCAACTTAATGGAAAAATAAAGTAATACAAAAGGGGATACAAATTGCAGAGTCTGGAGTAGGTTTAGCACTCATCAATTTTCTTCCCCAGGGAATTGGTAGGTGATTCAGAAATGTGACCCTCATAACAGAAGGAGATGTGTGCCTGTGTCACTTGAAAATTTGAACCTTTTCCTAAAAATGAAGAAATGAACAGAGTGTCACGGTAAAGCTCATCTCTCCCTGGAAGGCAAATTTTGTCTGTATTAACCTGCTGGGGGAGAGATGCTTCCTCTAGGAGCTTCCTCTAGGAGACCCTCCTCCCCCCTCCCCCCTCCCCGCCACCCCAAATGTGTGTGCTAGATTAGGAAGTGACTCTCAGGGCTTATTCTTGCCCCAACACAGGAACATCCTTACAAATCAAAAGAGGACAGTGTGACTCTCTAACTAAGGGTGTGCCTTGCTTTTAGGACTTTATTGCCACAAACTTCTGGGAATCATTTGCCCTCCGGTCTGGAGAGATCCTATCATCCTTTGCTACAGAAAAGTCAGTCTTGAGAGAGGGTGAAAGAGAGAGTGGGAGTGAGAGCCCTACAGAGCAAGGGAGAGACAGGAGACAGACGTGGTGAAATCAGGCAGCAGGTCAGTGGCCTGGGTCTAGTCTTAAACCGTGAAATACATGGCCTGAGGGAATAAACTAAACCATCTTGCTGAATTCAATTGTTAGAGAAAGAATGCTAACTAACTAGTTTACAGTCTTATGTTTCCAACTCTGGGGAATCTTATTGAGGACCCTTGGCTACAAAACACAGACTAAAAGTGGCAGCTCCAATTATACCGTGGCCTCCTTTCATTATACTTGGAGGAGAACTAAAATGTGTTTTAATAGAGGAAAAATATATTTTAAAATAGAAGGAACATGTGGGTTTAAAAATCATTTTGATAAGTGAAAATTCTCTATCAGGATCAAACTTTCACTTAAAACATAAGAATAATCTGTTTTGATCAGCAGGTTAGCAACAACTATTACTGAAACAAAAGATTTCTTCTTCCTTCTTAATTTTTGGTTTAAATGAAAGTAGAGTAAGCCTGAGTCCTTTAGAAATATGATTACTGTTTATGGTTTTATTGGAAAAGTGTGATCACTGCAAATTATAATACTGGGTTCTGCTTCTCCCCTCCTATGCCCCAGAACAGAAAATAGCATGGAGTGACATTTGAAATTAAAGCATTTGCATATAGTAAAAAGGGTTTTGAACATTTCTGTCCAAAATCTTAGGAATTATAAAAATATTAACTTGTATCTATTCAGTGATTAGATAATAGGGCAGTATGTAAATAAAATTGTCATGCTTTCAACATGAATACAAATTGCCTCTAGGAATTTGTAAAAGCAAACGAGTGTAGCAGCAGCACAATAAAAGAAGGTGTACTTGAAATTCTCAGGCAGCTTAGAAAAGCTGTTTCTATTGTAGAAAAAAAGAGAAAAAAAACCACCCGAGCTGACTTTTTTCTGCTCTCCCATGGGTGGGGCTCCAAGGCAGAGTGGGTGGCTGCAGAAAGAAAAGAACCCACGGAGCAGATTGGCCATGAGAATTCTAGAATTTTGTCCTTTGCACTTAGATGCCTTGCCATTTTGTTTAAATGAAGGATATCTTTAAAAACATTCTTAGAAGGGCACAGAATTTTGAGGGATTTATGGAATAGTACTCTGATGGGAGCTATAATGCAGATTGGAACATTTCACCTACAGACAATAATAATAACTAGCTAATGTTTGTATGGACAAGGTCATTGCAACAGTCTTTGTGGTCCCACAGGCTCTGTGTCCTTTCTCTCCCCCCTCCCACCTCCTCTTGCTCACTGGCTCTCTTGATGTTCTTTTTTTTTTTTTTTTTTGCGGTAGGCGGGCCTCTCACTGTTGTGGCCTCTCCCGTTGCGGAGCACAGGATTCGGATGCGCAGGCTCAGCGGCCATGGCTCACGGGCCCAGCCGCTCCGCGGCACGTGGGATCTTCCCGGACTGGGGCACGAACCCGTGTCCCCTGCATCGGCAGGCGGACTCTCAACCACTGTGCCACCAGGGAAGCCCTCTTGTTCTTTGAACTCTCCAAGCGTGATCTAGCCCCAGGACTTCTGCAAGTGCTGCCACCCTCTGCCTGGAATTCTCTATCCCCAGAAATTGGCATGGTTCACTCCCTCCCATTTGAAGTCTTAACTCAAAAAAAAAATGTCTCACCTGTCCTTCTAATCTAAAATTGCACCAATCCTGTATGATGCTCCTTGTTCCTTTCTTGCTTGGTTTTGCTTTTCTCCATCGCACTGATCATTGTTTAACATCCTGTATATGTTACTTATTTATCTTGCTTATTGCCTTTCTCCCCAACCATTCCCAACTCGATAAAGGTAGAGATTTTTGTCTGTCTGGTTAATGAATGTCTCCCTAGCACTGACAATACAATCTGAAACACAGTGGGAATAGAATAAATATTTGTTTAATATATGACTTTCCTATTAACTCATCTAACTCTCACACTGACTTGATGAGGAAATTATTGTTGCATTTCGTGATGAGGAAACTGAGGCTCCGAATAAATTTAGAGTAAGCGGTGGAGTTGAGACTCAACTGCAGGATGCCTGACGACAAGCCACTTCCTCTATATCCCTACATTAGGGCAACCTCTTTGGGAAGTTTTAAGTTCAGAGTCTAACATAGTTTCATTAGAGGTGCATTTGTCCTACTTTTACATCGTTGATCACACATAGCAATTCAAATTGCTTATAATTAGTCACTGGAAGAGAAGGGAGCTAAGATTAAATCACGAACTAATGCTTATTCAACACCACCTGGCTAGGTCTATAGTAACAAAGCAAAGCCCATAAATGAGGTTGTTATTCTAATAATTTAGGCAAAACCCCTGCTGCTCTTCAATTGTCAGAATAATTGCTTCAATTTTTCTTCATATAAATTAGGGTTGTTCAACCTCAGCACTATTGACTTTTTGGGTTGGATAATTCTTTTTTGTTGGGTGCTGTCCTGTGCATTGTGGGATATTTAACAGCATCTCTGGCCTCTACCCACTAGACGCTAGTAGCACTCCCCTAGTTCTGACAACCAACGACGTCTCCAGACATTGCCAAATGTCCCCTAAGGGACAAAATTGCCCAGGTCAGAACGGCTGTCATAACAGACACTTCCTAGGCATAATGCTGTGTGCATAGTGGATGTCTAAGAGGAAGCTAAAAAACAGGCTACTGGACTTTAATTTGGTGCCAGAAAAATGAAAGTGTAAGATAAAAAGATAAAAATGCCTTCTCTCCCCTTCTTAATCTGGATAATGGAGGGAAATGTAAGATTTGCAACTTATTGACCAATTGACCAAAGAAAAAAATTGCGTGGCTAGCTTTCGAGTATTTCTCAGACCACTAAGGTAGCTAATACTTCGTAGAAACAGGTACTTATGGAACACAGTGATAGCTAAACAAGCCCACATGGTCATTCTCAACGTCTTTCTCTTTCCCTTCTCCAATTTCCCATAGGTCTCTGCTTATTATACTATAAAAGAGCACTCAGAGCTATGACCTATTCCTGTCCCCTTCTTCACTGCCTAAATTCAGGCCCTTGGTATTTGTTGCCCGTATTACTGCTCTCTTAGCCCTTTGGACCACTCTCTCCCCCAACATCAGGCTGCTCTTCATTCTGCAGCCAAGAGCATCTTTCTAAGGCTCCAATTCCACTTCCTACTGACTTCAAGACCACTACTAAAAGAGGCACCCATGGAATCAAATACTTTTGGGTAATACTGTATTAAACAAAATTTAACAGGATTCTTTACTATAGGGGCTATATACACTATTATACAGACTTCATAGTTTACCAAACTATTAGACCAGAGAACATTTCCCCCAAATTTCCTGATACTAACATGACACCTTTGGGGGAACATTGACTTACAGGATTAAATTCATTTTAAACAGCATCATAGATACGTGAGATGGACAATATTGCGCTAAATATTTGAGAAACAAAGTTGAAGAAAGACAAAGTCCATTCCTTGATTCTTGTGAGAGCAAGCAATGCACAAACAAGATAAAGCATGGCAGTTCCTATAAAAGTAGTATAAAGAGCTATTGGAGCACAAAAATTCATATCTGAGTTGGGTCTTAAAGAACAAGTAGGAATTTTGTGTTTTGGAGAGAGGAAGACATGGGGAATGGGAGAAGAGGATGGGCATTGCGGGTGTAGGGAACAGGACTGATCAACACGTGGGAAAAAGGAAGCACAGACATCAAACAAATTATTCATAAAGAGTGGGGAGGGTTTCCCTGGTGGCACAGTGGTTGAGAGTCCGCCTGCTGATGCAGGGGACATGGGTTCGTGCCCCGGTCTGGGAAGATCCCACGTGCCACGGAGCGGCTGGGCCCATGAGCCATGGCCGCTGAGCCTGTGCGTCCGGAGCCTGTGCTCTGCAACGGGAGAGGCCACAACAGTGAGGGGCCCACGTACCGCAAAAAAAAAAAAAAAAAAAAAAAAAGAGTGGGGAGAAGTGGAGGGAGAGAGACTGGAAAAGTAGGATGCAACCAGATTGCCAAGGGCCTTGCATGCAAGGAAATGTGTTTGGGCACTAGGCTGAGGTCAACATGTAGCCCTAGAAAATATGTAAGCAAAAAGGCAACATGGCAAGAATTGTGTTTTGGAACAATAACTTCATTAGCAACATTGGAGTTTGTGAGACCAAAGCAAGGAGGCTAGTTAAGAAGTAACTGGAATAGTTAAACCTGTACCACCCAATCTATGGTCCATGTAAGTGGACCCTCAGACTCCACACTGGAGTACTGGTCGGGGGGGTTGCCTGGAAACTGTTTTAACACGTTCTCCAGGTGATGCTTATGCAAGCTAAAGTTTGAGGAGCTCTGATTCAGATTACATATAAAGAAACTTGAACTAAAGCAACGTCAGTGGGGATGATGAGAATAGACTCAAATGTTTGAAGGCAGAATTGATAGAATTTACTAATCAACAGAGTATTGGAGTCAGGGAGCAGGGGAAGCTGAAAATAGCTCTGAACTTACTAATTTGGATGACTAGGTGTGTGGTGAGGTCCTTATTAAAGATGAAGCCTTGTTTTAAAGTAGACTGTAATACGTTTAACTTGGGCAAGTTAAGCTTGAGGCCTCTGTAAGACATTTGGGAAATATGATCAGTAGCCATTTGAAATGTGGAGCTCAGAAGAGAGAGGAGGGGGCTGGTGGCAGGCATCTGGCAGTCATCATCATCTTTGAAACCACATGGGTTTCCCCAAGGAAGTGAAGAACAACAAGAATGAAGACCAGACCCAGAAAAACACTGACATTTAAGGAATGGAGTGTAATGATCACAGAAACATAGAAAAATAAGAAGAGAAACATGTTACAGAACCATGGATAAAGCTCACTCTCCTTCATGTGATGAGTGGATTTCTTAAATCATCCCACACACATGGTTCTCTACCAAACCACTTATACCTAGAATGTTCTAGAAGTGAAGTTAAAAGGTAGCTTTCAGTTATTTCAAAGACTGAAGTAAAAGCAAAGTGAAACTCTAAGAGAAATGTTAATATTATATGTAAGTGTTCAGTTCGAAATGTGAATCTTTCAAGGATTTACTTTAGGAAATTTCATAAAAATGGATGGTAAGAAAGGTCTTATCTGAAATATTTCACTATAAAAATATTTCATTTATTTCCACCCATTTGAATTCCATTCTGTTTAGATACTTAACATTTGATAGTTTTAAGAAGGACCAAATGGCTTGAAGTAACAACTTTCCACAAATTCATAACAGCTCTTCATCTGGTCACTGAGCTGAGAGATGAGTGGAATCCTGCAGATTCCCTTCAATATTGGGTTTCATTCCCTCCATCTTGTGCAGGCCGCGCTCCGAGAAAACAGCCAAGAAAAACAACCCAAGCACAAATGGCTGCAAATTGACTTGCAAATGTACAAACTCAGACCAAAAAGTGAAACAGGAAATCTTCTTTGAAGGGTAATTATCATAATTTATAATGGGCAAATCTAAACTCTTTCCCATATTTCTCTAAACTTTCCAGTGACTTCATTGCCCATGACTGATAAATGTTGCCACTTCCTTTTAATGTGTGTTTAAAAAAACCTGTGTAGCTCTTCAAACGTGGGAAATTATCTCCATGATCTATAACTAGCAATAAATAATTATTTCTCTCCAGTTAGCACAAATTAACGTTAGGTCTGGTAAAAGAATTTGATTGCAAGAAAAAAAAAAAAAGAATCAAAACAGCCAAGATGTATAATTTCAAACTTTATCTTAGCTTTTCATGAAAATGAAATGATGACATATAAAAGAAAAGGAATATATTAACCCTAAAATAACAAAGGAAATTAAAGTTCTGATGAATATGGTTCAGTTCAGTATACTCTAATACCAGAAATTAAGTGAAAATGTGTCAATTATGAGTTAATTTGCTATACAGGGAAGAAACTAAATGATTGAAAAAAAGGAACAAACACTTAAAGCCACCACTTTGAAGCCCAGATTATCCAAATTGACTGTTTCCATTGACAGATTAAATTATGTTGCAACATTAACATTTCATGAGAAACCTTATAAGCGAACACTTTAGAAAATGATGAACCAAATAACAGGCATAAAACATACAAAACAACTCACCCAGCCCCATATGGCTATTCTTTTTTCATCAATGAAACCCATTTCTATGAATTTTCTAAAGGAAAAGAAACAAATTTTTAGAATTTTAAGTGTGTACACATGACATTTACTTCATTACACAAGCATATTTAATCCAAAGATTTAATAGAAACGCTACATTTTCTTTGTTTAAACACTTGCATAATCAGGCTGCATTTACAAATAGTTAAAAGAACATTATCATGCTTACTGCAAGGGGTAAAAGGATCCTTTAGACTCTATGGTACATCTATTGAGTAATACTTTCAGGGCTGTAAGGCCTCCTACCCTAACTGTGCTGGTGAGTTACTTGGGACTCAGGTTAAGAGACAGGCTCATACTCAGCAAATGAGAATAGACTGAAAGGGGAAAATGTTTTTTAATGCAGTGAACAAACAAATGGTTAACTCAGGTTCTAACACTATAGCCACATGTTTTTGAATTTACTATTAAATGCACTTAAGATATTTTAAAGAAAAAAAAAGAGAGACTGGCTCATAGTAACACCAGAAGTAATAGCACCATGACTAGGACCAAATTTCCAAATCTCCAGCTTTTGGAAAAAAGGGTTTCATTATTGCTGTTTTAAAATTTATTAATTCTTATGATTTTGTTTGCTTAGATGTTAATGTAAAAGAATTTCAACCTAAAATGGGACTGAAGAATATAAATGAAAAATTGCACACATGTGCCCTCAGGAGTGAGAGACTGATTTCCATATATGCCTGATTTCCATAAAACTGGTCATATTGAAATTTTCTTAAATGATAGAGAGTTAGTCAAGGGTTGCCTCATATCAACCTTGGGAAGTTTTGCTTATGGTTTCCAGAGGCGTGAACAAGAAATGACCCAAGTTGGGTTGGTTTCTCAAAATATGCTGAATTGAGCTTTGTTTGTAGGATGGGATTGGTTTTGTCTGCCCAGGGAGTAGTCAAAGCTGGTCTCTGTTTGTTTCGATTTTAATAGACTCTCACTGAACTCTCCCCTCTTTCATTCCCTCCCTATAAATACAGCCTTCCCCAAACCCTCAATGGATGGGCCCATAGCTTGCTACAGTTTGTGAGTCCAGAATTTCAATTCCTCTGCTATTCCTGAATAAACTCATTTTTTTGACAATTTTGAGCTTGCCTTGTTTTAACCTTTTATTTAGGTTGACATGCATTATAATCACTGTCTCATTTTTGGTCACATCCATCCATGGAAACACATCCGTCCCTCTCCCATTTCACACTTAGGTACCCTCAGTTCATCATGGTTTGGACAATTGTATGCATCTTTCAGGATATGAACATTATTCATTCAATTTCCCTCACAGAAATTGAGGGAAATCCATTTAAAAATGAATTTGAAAATAAATCTATCCTTAGGAGCAAGGGACCATGCTGAAAGACAACCTTCAAAAAAGTCCTGGGAAGCCCTCAGAAATCTAACTACGTCATTGGTACAAAAAGAGAGTGTTTTAGGCTAATTTATTCCATGCTTCCTTGATGGCTCGTGTTCTAGAGCAATTGTGATTTATTTGGGGAGCGTTTTAATAAAAACTCAAGAAACTCTTAGAGAAGCAGAAGCAGTGGAAGAAAAAAGCAAAGTGGATGAGCCATTATAGAGGCCTGGATGGGACAGTGAAGGAAAAGAGGGGAAGAGCCAAAAGTGACACTCATGACCCCAGAAAAATACTATTTTTTTGGTTGCCTTAAGTGACGTTAATGCCCTTTCTCATTCTTCTCTGGAACTAGGACCGAGTGATTTGCATTAGTTAAATAATGGAATTTCTTAAAGGGATTTCACAGCAACCATTTTGCTCGTTGCATGGATTGAAAATGCATGTTTCTGATGCATAGAGGAGTTGGGCAGATGCCCGGCACAAACAGATGGGAAGAAGCCCCGTCAGTCACAGCTTACTCGACACTGATTCTGAGGGACACTGAGGGGTCTACAGGGGAGAAACGCAGTAGCAAACAGAAAGTTGCTACCTGTGTTGACGCTTGGTCACGGTAAAGTAGAGACAACGGGCAGCAAATTGCGGCATTTCGGCAATTCTCCCACAAACTTCAAAAGCCAAGTGAAAGAAAAGAAGGTTCACTTTCTTTGTCAAAAAAATGATCTTGCTGCTAGTGCTTGAAGCCAGTTCTGAGCCATAAAATCAATCGTGATTTTATGATCTCCCAGAAGCTAGCAATCATATTGCCTTGCATTTGGGGTAAAAGCAAATAACAGGTGATACACGGGAACAGGAAATTCTTAACAACTCCCTTCCTAGGTTTATTCCGAAAGGATGACATTTACAGGAAATGATAGTGCAATAGTTAACATGGAAATGAAACATTAACACTTACTGTGGAAGGACTAGGTTAAAGGTTAGCTAGATAATCTGAGACCAACAAGCCTCTATAAAATTTACCTCCAAATTCTGAAGAGCTTCCAGGAGGGTTATCAGAGATACTGTTGACAATGTGGTTAAATCAACAAAATGTTAATAGCAAGTGAAAAAGCATTTTTTCTAATTTTGGAGGCTGGACTGGACTTTACAACTTTTTTCTCATAAAAATACCCTAAATCTAAGGTCAGTTCGAAACCTTAGTAATCAATTACTATTATTCTATTTTGGAAATGTTCTTATTGATACCATGTATAACAGTATGATATATTTTTTTTCTCATATAATCCTTCTTTACTGCTAACCCTGAAGTTATATAAAATTTCAAAATTGTGGGAATGTCAAAAATGCCAAACCTACCCCAAATGAGCATATTTGATCCTATAACTACTGAAATTTTAAGGGTCTCACATATGAACCACTTGCAGAGGAGCCTGAAGAAAGCAGGTCTCAGTTTTCCTTAAGCTTTGACCTCACAAGCGTATCCTTTGGGGCTTTCTCTTATGTATAGTCAAAATTTGTGCGGTTGTAGGTCCTCTCTTTTTTTCCTGCTTTGCTTTGCTTGACTCTGTTTCTTGACCCTGACTAGTATTTACTGTTGTTTCCAAATATGTACTTATGATATTTTTTGGTATATAAAAAATTTAGCCAGCTTGCATTTCATAAGAGATTCCAGGGAAAAATTTCACTCTTTGAGGGGAGGTAATTTGAGGACTACCATAGAGGAATTGCAATCCCAATTCCTCAAGTCAGACGTTCAGTGTCTGATTACTAAAACACTTCTCAGGAAGATATGTGATTGAATTATTTCTAGAATTATCACTATAAGTCTATTCTTTTAGCTTTTGTTTTCTCAAAGCATAGGGTTTCAAGGCTTCCCTTTCCCTTTTGCAGGATAATGGTTTCAAGCAAAGCCAAGGCCAGTCCCAACTGGCATCTCCACTGCTGTATACGTGCTTTGCCATACAGCTGCCCCTGTTCACTAAGGTGAATACAAAAAGTTCCATCTAATAACCATGTTCCCTTGAGTGCATGTGGTTTATTCACTCTTCAAAAACTGTAAGTGCACTGAATGTTGAGATTGTAAATTGCACAATTTTATACAGAGTATTGTAATAGCATATACTAATATTTCATCTGTTCTTGAATGGCTGAGTCAATTAGCGAACATATGCCTGATCTATAGTAGGAAGACATTCTTCAGGTTCCATCCTAAAAATGGCTCAGAGAAGGTAAACGTAGCCAATTACCGCCTCTGGTCCATCTTCCTTTCAATTCTAAATGCCAAACACATTTATATTATTGTGAAAATCAATAGAATTTGTGGCTTCGTGTCCTATATGTTGGACACCAGAAATAACAATTTTTGTTACGGTCTATACATGGGTTTCATGTTTAAATTTTCATTTCATCCAAGGAAAAACATTAAGAAGCTATCAGTTCTATCTGTTCTGTTTCTTAAGGTATCCCTCTTAAATTTGAATGCTGCATTTTTGGTGGTAAATAAATGCACAAAAATATAATGATGTATGATGTTAATGATGATTGTTTTTTAACCAGTGCCAAAACAAACCATTTTTAGCTCTACCAACTTTGGAAAGTTGAATTACAAACCATAATTTACATCTCTGTCTTTTGATGTTGTCCCAGGATTACATGCCCTTGGTGTTTATTGCACGGTTTAAATACAAATAAATGTGACCCGACCCACAATGCCAAAAACAATACCGTAAAGAATTAAGTCTATAATGCTGACAATTGTGTTAATGTTCTTAAGGCGTACCACAGTCTTTACATGAACGATTGAATCTCAGAGTTTTTCTTTGAACTATCTTTTCTATGACTCTCTATCAGGCCGAAGACTCCCTCAAGAATGTTAAAATAGTGGAAAGGCCAAAAATCTGGATCAGTAAGAAAGATGGAGCCTCCTAGAAGTTAGGTGTGAATGATGCCTACAGATTGTATAGTGTTATTTAATAACTTATTTATCAATTTTTCAGATTTAACTCAAATCGACTTTGTTTTTCATTGAATGTTTTAGGTGTAAGTGTGTGTATATTACTGTTCACAGAATGAAAGAAAAATTTGAAAACATATGGGTTATGATTACTTTTCTATTTAAAAAAAATAATTACTTGTGAGTCAAAATTCTTCTGCTTTGATTAGAGACAAAAAAATACAGAAAAGTGTTGTCTGGGCCTGGCTCCTAGTTGTTAAATATAATCTGTGTTGTGTGTGCTGCATTGAAATCAATAACTGCTGATGATATTAAGATGATAAAAGAAACATACTAATTAATTTTCTAAATTGCTCTTTGCTGTGAAACAGTGTTTGACCTTTAGACATCACTCATGCACATATATCCATGACTAAGAGTACAGTCAGCCTGTGTTAGCTTTTACATTTACAAACTAGTATTCCCCAACTTCACCTACTCACATCATAATAACAGAAACCCAACAACTATACAGAAATATCCAGAAGAATCCTGCACAGTGTTTCCAAATTAGGAACAATTTTGGTGACTCTATTCTTTTTGTTTCAGGAAGAGATGATTGAGCCATAAATTGTGGTTGAGAATGTAGTTGGGAAGAAGAACTCAGATTATAAATCTGTCTTTCCCCTACATGTTTTGGTAGATTTCTGTTATGTAAAAGAAATTTTTTGTCGAATGAAAATAGGAAAACACATTCTTGCTAAAATAGCTAGTTTAATTACAAAAGAATGCTAATATCTATAAGTATATAGTGCTGATGAAATCTTGAGCCATTTCTAAATTTATGAGGTAGAATCCACAAGGCTTGAGCAAATTCAGATGTCTGGTTTCCTACAGACCATCCCTAGAGTTATACAAAGTTTTCCGCTAATTGTGAGCCATGGTAATGAAAGTCTGTTAGAATGACTGAAACGTGGAAAGAGAGTATTTATCATCTTTCACCATAAATCCTTTTTCTTCTCTCTTCCGTGAATAATTTTTTCTTATATTGGGTAAAAATATCACTTTAAGGTTAATGATAGCTTTAGATGAAGTTAGGAAAATGGACAAAAAATATTTAAGACATTAAGGATGGGGAAACCCGAGAATGACTGCATGACTTTTGCTGACATCAGTTTCTGTTTGAATGAGAAGGCGCTCACCTGACAGCTGTGATCTGGTCCTCAACTTCATAAACACCCAGCTTTCGATACACTGCATACAGAAGTTTGTCACCTTGGAAAGCTGTTCCTCGACCATCCACCAAGGCAATGACTATCCCTTCCTTACTTGCAAGATAAGATATCCAACTAATAGAGAATACAGACCTTACACTCTGACTGCAGGGACCACCATACCTACAGAAAAAAAGAAAAAGATAGAATCTCTGATTCCTTTGTGAAACTCAACTTCCCATCATGGCCAAGAATTGCCTTTAGTATTTCCCAGTACATTTGTATGATAAAATTTCAATAACAGTGGCATTAGAACTGGCTCAAAATCAAGAGAGGACCAGGCTTTTCCCAGAGGTTTGCTACAAGGAAGTTGTTTTGGGACACAGCCTCTCCTATTCCCCAAAACGGATACATCTAGGGTTGGCATTTCAAGGAATATGTGTGGGTTTTTCGTCATTTCTGCCACCTGCCACTTGCTAAAAGCAGGCATAAGATATACTAAAAAAAATGCATGGTGTTTTAAGCAAATTGTGTGTAGGTCAGCACTGATTTTGGGTGTGATTCCACAAAATGTATTCCATTCCCTTATTTCATTTCTAACTCAATTACATAAGATGTTAAGATGATTTACAATATTTTTTGGCTGCAATTTCTCTATCTCAAAGGTATTCTGACACATTAGGCAATTTGCCATACAAAGGAAATTCAAAACAGTAAATGCAAGCAAGTCCATCTAAAAATCTCAAAACTTTCTCAGGCTATTTTAAATAGCCATATTTTATTTACTCTGATTAGTTGGGGAATATATAAAAACAGCATCAATAGGAACTGTTACAGAGGAGAATGGTTCATTCTATCTCACAAATGTGTATTTAATCCAACATATTTTCAGTAAATAGTTTTTAAACCAAAGAAAATATTACATACACTTGAATTAGCAAAGGATACTTCTTTGATCTGTCAAACCGAGGAGGAAGAATCATCTTGTACCATAAAGCTTGAAAAACAAAAATAGAGAAAAATCTTCATTCCACTATACTCATAGCATTATTTATTTTCTTTAATAACAACATATAACATAAAATCAATTTATAACTAGTAAATTGTTAAGAACAAAGACTATGTTTTACTTGATTTTTATTACATATTTTTGTCCAGTTTACAAATTGCTAGAAATGTTGAACTGTTATTTTTCTAGAAGCACACATTTTAAAATGAGATAAACTCTTTTTAAAAGTATCAGTGTTGAAATGGAGCTATAGTAAAGTATAAGATCAACCTATTCACAAACATATGAAAGATATTTCATAAAAATTTAATGTGACAGTAAGATTTTTAAAATTAAGATCCTGTAATATTGTAGAGATTGGATTATAATATTTACCTTACAATTTTGTTTTAAAAAAGCAAAAGCTGATAAGTGTTCAGCTTCATATCTATTCATGAGAAATTTTTAAAAGGTCTTACTAATATCATCCACTTCAAGTTTCTTAATTTCCTCTTTAGGCAGCTGGATATTTTTCAAAGCATTTTCCAATTCCTTGTTTTCTTCCAGGATTTTAATTTCTTAAAAAAAAATAAAATGTTCATTTTTAATTAATAGAAATTCCATAGGAAAATTCTTTCTTAAAATGTCTTTGGCTTTACTATGGATGAAACTGAAACTGTATAAGGTTTGCTTAAGGAGTTTCATATTGACAAGGATATTTTTAATCCAGCCTTTAAAGCAGGGATGAGCTTATGAAGGACATCAGTCATTGTCTCTTAAACAGACCCTGATGGCATCAAAATACATTCTGAGCAGAATCACAGAAGTAACAATGTTTATTCAGCCACATTTTCCCGTTTCTAACTTTTCTTTTACAACATGAAGCCATGACCTGAGTAGGTGACATTTAAAAAAATATATTTTTACTGAAAAAGTGGTAGAAGCAAAATCTATATTGCTGAAACCTCAAATTTAAAATAATTAAGTATGTATTATAGTTACAAAGTTTGTTTTAAAATCTTCAATGTGTAAGGTCAAATATTAATTCTGTGATTTTTTTATATCTATTTCTTTCTTAAACTTTTCCTGCTGTACTTGCTTAATATAGGATCTTCTTCCTCTTTTTTTTCTTTTTGTGATATTCTTCCTTTTTTTTTTCTTTTTGTAATTGAATTACTGTGCATCCTATTCCTTCAAATCCTTTCTTTCAAGGTAGTTATATATCTTAAAAGAACAACAGTATATACACACTATGATTTCTGTCTTTCACCTTAAAAGATCTCCTAAAAAAACTGTTGTTTATCTTTGAGCTTAGTTATGTTTCACACTTTAATTTTTGTAACTGAACAAATATATTGATCTCCTGATGCTGAAGATGAGTGATACATTCGAATGGGTTTCTAGCAGTAGAGGACTTTTTGTAAGCTTTGTTTTGACCTGGATAGATATTAGGTATCGTCTAGAGAGAAGTTAGATTTTTGTATAATAAGTGGATTTTGTGGCTTTATTTTTTTATTTTTTGCGATACGCAGGCCTCTCTCTGCTGTGGCCTCTCCCGTTGCGGAGCACAGACTCCAGAAGCGCAGGCTCAGCGGCCATGGCTCACGGGCCCAGCCGCTCCGCGGCATGTGGGATCTTCCCGGACCGGGGCACGAACCCGTGTCCCCTGCATCGGCAGGTGGACTCTCAACCACTGCGCCACCAGGGAAGCCCATGTGGCTTTATTTTTTAAAAGAGGGTCTGGATGACTTCTGAGATATGCCAGTCCCGTGGTCTCCTTGTTTTTGTGCCTTTTTAAAAAAGTGGTCCTTGAAGATGGGGAGCTGGGGGGAGTACTTGTAACTACACTAAGTTTGCCAAACCACTTCCCTTGTAACTCTCAGCTTTCATATACTCATGGCATTTTGCTCCAAAGTGTTATATTTAATCTTAGAACAAGTATAGATGTTTTAGTATGAGTTGTATAAGATACATAATACATTTCATTTTAACTTTGGACAATCTATCAGGAAAGAGATACTTGTGGCAACTTAAAAGTTACAACTAGAAAAAGGGATAGCAGGGGGCGGGGAGAAGGATAAATTAGGAGTTTGGGATTAACATATACACACAACTATATATAAAATAGATAAACAACAAGGACCCTACTGTGTAACCCAGAGAACTATATTCAATATATTATAATAACCTATGATGGAAAAGAATCTGAAAAAGAACATGTATATATGTATAACTGAGTCACTTTGCTGTACACCTGAAACTAACACAACATTGTAAATTAACTATAATTCAATTTTAAAAGTTAAAACTAAAAAAGAAAATAAAATGTATACTCAATTATAACCACAATGCAGCCAGCTCTTCCTTCTTGTGTGGGTTCTCAGTGTGGAACTGTCAAGGATAAAGGGAATCTATGTGGAGTAAGCACAAAGAATGGCTGCAATATTTATTTATGTAGACCATGTTTATCAGTCTGTAGACGGATACTGGAAGTCAGAGACAACACGCAGATGTTGCCTGGTTGGGTTGACCTTGATTCCTTTTCTATTCTATTCCTAGCTACTGAAATTTTCTGATTCATGACTTACTGAAATGACGAGTTGAATGGAAAATCTTATTAAAGCTTCTACAGTCCAGGGTTGCATTTTTATGGATAGTAAATGTGCAATTTTCCCACCCCTTGGAGGCAATATGGAACTTCGTAGGTCTGTGAGGAGAGGGAGGGGTGGCAATGGGACTTCTCTATGTGGCTGTGCATTAGCAATGCATAATGTGGCAAGGAGTGCTACAGCCCAGACTGTACCTTTCACCTTCTTTCACTCATCATTGTATACTCAGCACTCAGCATGCTCAGTACCAAGGGCATGATATGTAGTATGTGCTCTCCAAATGTTTGAAGACTCTTCATTACAATGAAATCAAGTGGTAAGAATGATGAATCGTATGTGAGATTTTTGTTTAAATCATATTAACTATGACATATTGTTCATTGATTAAATTATGTGAAGAATCTGCAGAAAATCTGATGAATAAAGTTATTCAATCAGTTAGGTAATTTTAATGAAGATCTGCTCTGCCCGAAGCAACTAAGCCTCAACTGGGCCCTCCATGTCAAGTGTCAACTCTTCTGGGTTTTTATAGCATCTGGTTCAAGTACTATCTGTTATTTTCCATTGACTTTACCCCACTTCGCAGAGAAAGCAAAAAACGTTATGTAGAGAAAGTAATTTCCTCATTCTCTCTCATCTCAATGCTGGAGATTAATGTCCTCACCTGTCTCTGGACTCCACTTTGCCCACTTTCTCAGCGACCTCCCTCCTTTATGCCTTCAACCTCTTTTGGTCTCCAAATTTCTTCCATCAGCATTCAACCATGCTCAAATGTTTATCAGCTTTCAAAAACTAGCTTAAACCTCTATCAGTCTCTTCCAGTCATTATCCCACCTCTTTGCTCATCAGTCAGACCTACTGAAAATAGTTTCTTTTTATTTATTTACCTGCTATGCAGACCTAAATTTGCTTCAGTCTGGCCTCTACCTCCACTGCTCCAATGAAACTGCTCTGACCAAGCTAATGCTCATCCTTATTTCGCTAAGCTCATTGATTTAGAGCAGGTCTTGCTTCACTCTCTGAAGCACTTGACACAGATAAGCACTCTCTTTTTCTTGAGACCCTCTCTTCCCCTGCCTTTCATGACTCCATATACTCTCAAGGTTGTCCTCCTTCTTGTTCCCCCTTGGTCTCCTTTACAGGTTCATTTTTCGCTTTGCATTTCTTGTGTTGGTTTTCTGCACAGTTTTACTCTAGGCTCACTTTCCACTACCCCTGCCCACCCTCATTTTCCCCACTCTGCTGCGTCATCCATTTCCATGGACTTAGTAACCATGTATTCCATAAATGAATGACTTCATGATCATTCTCTTCAGTTCAAACAATCCTCCAACATCCAGTTCCAAAACTATGTCACTCCAGGACAGCTCTTCTTAGTTATATGCCATCAGTACCTCAAACTCAACATTGAAAACAAAATTCATCCTCTCTCCAAAATGTTCTCTGCACTGTGAATCCCATCTTTCAGTAGAGTATCAATACCAATCCACTTGAGCAAGCTAGACATCCAAACAGCATCAATCCCTCCTTTATATTTGAGTCTTAAAGTCGATGTAGCTATCATTAGAAAACATTTCCTAAGCCCCCTACCCCAGATGAGATGCCCTGCTTATATGTTTTTATGCTATCTCTATTTCCCCTATCTTAATACCTTACCCCACTGTGTTGTAACTGCCCATTCACACGTTTGCATTCCCCACTGATCTATAATCTCCTTGAGGACAGGGACCATATCTAACCCAGTATCTGTTCATTTTAAGGATCTAGTATCTAGTACAGCGTCTGTTTTAATGTAATAGTGCTTAATAAATATCTATTGAATGAAAATTGGGGCACCAAATGCAATGGAAAATGGCTGAGAAAACTAGAAATAAATAGAAGAAATATCATCTGCTCTAAAAAGCAACTCCAAGACTTATTTAGGGATTTATTAAAAATACAGATTCCCTAGCCCATTATAAGTCCTACTGAACTGGAATTTCTGGGGACAGCCTGAGAATCTGTATTTATAATAAACCTCTCTGGAGAATTTCATCATGAGGCTAGTTTGCAGAACTGTGCTGTAAAAGACTTTGCATTATGTTTTGAGAGTTAGAAAACATATAAATACATATGACATATATGAGACTGACATGAACACTGTCCCTGTTTTGTAAGTATTGGGTGAAGTAACAAGGCTTTGCAAGCAGTACAGAAATTTGTATCTGGCAAGAATATGAGAAGGATAGTAAGAAAGTAGAAACTCATTAAAAAAAGGAAGCTGACCTTTATTTTGCGGTCATGATAAAATGAGAATTATACATTTATGGTGACTTCCATTAAAACAAAACCTTACAAATTCCAAACTATTCTTGCTTTAAAATTTCTCTCACTGCAGGTTGCAATGAGAAATACAATCTATTATTCTTAAAAGTATTTCATTATTAGACACAAGGTTAAAAAAAAACGCAAAACTTCAAACTGAAACTAAATCCACAGTGTCATTATTACAAAGCCTGTCCTGTCCTGAGCTCCTGAATCTACTGTGTTTTTCCTCATTTTCTTATCTTCACCTATACTTAGGCCATTGGGCTGGCAGTCAAACCAATTCCAAAGCAGAGTACTGAAGTCCCTCACTGTCCCTGGACTCCATCAACTTCAACCCTATAATGTTTAATAGTAAATCAAAAGATAACAGAGAACCGCAGGAAGAGTCTCAGGGCAGTTATACACTTCGGTATCTCCGTTGAGAGCAAAAACGGTCATCTTTGAGCTGTGAACTATTTTGAACCAATATCTCAAATCGGGATGGAGGAGTTCTGTCTTGATAGAAATTGAAAATGGAAAGAGCCTCCAAATTTCAGGGCTCTCATACGTGGCAACAGTGTGATGTAGCTGTTAAAACAAAAAAGCTAGCGTGATAGTCACCCTCTGCTTCGAACTGGAGTTATATCTGGAACTCTTCTCCAGTTTGGGATGTTACCAAAAAAACAGGTCTTCTTATTTGGGAGGGAGATTGTACTAAAAATCTTAAGTTTCCTTCCAATTCTAAGCTTCTGTGTTTTTGATAAGGGTGATTGGGGAAGACAGGATTAATCCCTCTTATATATTTGCATTATGCCAGGTTCTTACTGCAAATAATTATTAAATTTCATATGATCAGGTTTGACTCAAAGAATAGGCTGATCTATATAATCATAAGCTCTACAATAAGAGAATCCAGCACTGTTCCCCTTGTTGGTGTGGGGAAACTGTCTTGCTTCCTCTAGTGTCATAAGAGTCCAGGATTTCTTAAGACAAGATAACAGCATGAGAGAGAGAGTACCTTGATCAGTGTGGCCGTCATGAAGGGTGGAAATTGGGAGGCCTGGGCCTGTGCATAGGATGAAAACAAAAACATGGGTTAGTTTTAAAATAACATTTCGTTTTCAACAAGAACTTCTGGTAGTATTTGTGATTACTGTCAAGCTCAATTACCTCTTTTAATTCTGCAACTATTTTTTTTCTCCCCATAGAGAAGTAAACATCACCTTTTAAGTTACATTGAAAGAACACATGAGACCAGAGCCCAATCAAAGGACAGACATAAGAGAAGAGTTGCCTGTGCACTTTTCCAAGAGTGATCCTAAATAGTTAAGATCTAATTACACAAATGGGTCCCAGAAGCTGCAGTGATAAACGGCCTTCTGGGAAGATATGCTGTATGGGCCAGTTTTAGCTGTGTTTTCATTATCAAATAACCTTCTCCAGTACCTAGAATGTATTTTCAATCTGGCTTCTTGGTTTGATGTTCAGTTTATTTTGGTAGGTAGAACCCAGCATCTTTTTTTCTTTCATTTAATTACTATATGCAGAAATAAATTTATATAGAAAATATTTCCTGTTCAAATATGCTGTGATGGGTCACATTCCCCACGAAACAGACCCAGAAGGAATTTTGTGCACCAAGAGTTCATCTGGGGTGTGGTGTTGACCTCAGCCAACCCCACTGGGAGCTCTGGAGATGTATGACCTGCAGAGTTGTCTTGAATGGGGCCAACTGAGCTGGCTTTTATACCCCAGAATGAAGTGGTAATCAGCTGTGGCCTGGGATGAGAGCAATCTCTGGGGTGGGAGTGGGGGTCCCAGCTGGGAGGTGTCTGCCACCAGCCCTCTCAGCAGCTAGAGAAATGAGTGATTCAGACCTGAAGATGGGATGTCTGGGTGGCAAACCACTGTCCACCATATATTCCAACATGAAATTCAGGTTCTCTGTGCAGAAATTGGCCCTTTTAACAAAATCTACAAATATTAAACACTATCACTTACTGGAGCTATAGAATAAATAATACTTGGAAATACATTTTTAAAGGGTAAATTTGCTCAGGCAGCCAAGGAGTTAAAAGCAACAAACACGGAGGTTGGGAGATGTTCATTTGCACTCCTGATGCTTCCTCCTCTGTGGCAGGAGTGCCATTAGAGCATCCTTGGTCCCAAGCAAGGAGAGGGGGAATGACCTATGTGGTAAGTTCTGAGAAAACCGGAGTATGAGAAGCTCCTTCTTCTACCTTGTTCCTGGCATCTTTCAGCCTGCAGAGAACAGGACTGTTTTGATCTGTTCCGGTGCTGTAGGTGTGACAGTGGCCAGCCCCATGGGCGAAGCCGGTGGCTGTCTAGTTGTACCCATATTTGTGTGAGTAATTGTAATTCTGGGGTGCGGTATTAGGAAGCTTCACACCTTAGCCACATTTTCCAATTAACCTTTACAGGTAATAAAGCTAATATTGGTTTCCTTCCTGACTCTTCAGTCTAACCTGAGAGCAAGGAGAAGCAATATCGTTTATAAGACTCCCTCAAAAACCAGCAGTCCTTTACTGTGTGGAGTCTCATAATTTTACAGAATTTAATTTCAGAGATTTTCATTTTGGTTAGCTTTCCTTCAACGTTATTAAAAGGGACAAATACACATTATATTTTTTGTTAGAATGTAAGGCAGTGAGACATGAATCTGAATTTCTAGACTTTAGTCAATCAACATTGACCTTATGGAATTTTCATGGGTGTGCAGTTCCAATAGAGACAACTGGCATATATATCTCTTTTGCCCAAACTATGAGACAAACTAATGACTGACCGCCCTTGACACAAGTGGTCTGAGGGTGTGGTCCTAGTGGCATAAGCATCCTTTGCATTGCTTTTGTTCCATCAGCATCATCAGTATGACTTTACCTATTTCAAAATCCTATTATCTGGGATTTACTCACCATCCCTTTTGGAGAGTTTGAAGTTACATAATGAAGCTTTACTCTTAGTCCTAAAGGGAAAGATTTCAAGGTTTTTCCTATGATGGTGCAGTGACTCATTTTACTGGAGCTTCAAAAACACCAGACGATGTGATGCTTCCCACACAGTATATTTTTTGCTAAATGGGAAATTACCATACTGCCGAGGAAGAGTGAGTGTGGAAAAGTCAGGCGATTCAAGTTCTAGAAAGGAGTCTTTCACCAACTTTTGATGAGAGCTTAGTCCTTGATTCCTTACTCTTCAGGGGGCACTTAGGCTCAAGTAGATCTCAGGAAAACAAAGTGATATAAAAAGTGGTATAGCGCTTTCAAAAAGCATTAAAGCACTGTACAAATGCAGAATGCATATAAATATAAATGCCTGTTTCTATGTGTAGGGTCACTGATGTCGTTATCAGTAAGTATATCAGCATAAAAATGAGGTTTTGGGTACACTCTGCAAAAGGCAGCAATGTTTTGATCTTCCCTAGAACCTATGTTCATTCTGCAAACCTTCAATGTCTATTATGCACTCATCATTCTTTTTGGCCTTATGAATATAAAGATGAAAGGAAAGCAGATTCTGCCTTCAGAAGAGAAAATAGACCAGATGACTCAGGACAGTTAGTTCAATGATACTATGTGCCTGGCATGTAAGCTTTCAATATATGCTGCATAAACACATAGCTTGGGATGAAAAATGTTGCACATAACTTGAGAGGGACATTTAATGTATACCTTGAAATGCCATAACCACAATCAGCACATATGGTCATGAAAAACAATCTTCTGACTTTTCAGAGATGCCACTGACCAAACCTTTTGTGAAAATGTTGTATTAAACTGACATCTTGTGCCATCTTGAAGGGAGCGTTTGGATTAAAATGCTTACTCATTTCGACGGCTGGGGCTGAGGTTCTGGGCCCAGGTGATTGGACTGAGGAAGTGGCATGTCAGGGTGGTCTTCCATCTGGGAAGTAAAGAAGACCTCAGGGTCCTCTACAACTGAGCAGGGATCTCAATCAGTCAAAGATTCTATTTATTCTCTGAGCTGCCCACCTGAATATGGGGAGTTAATACCAGAAACAGGAGAGTGGCATATGTTTGGTAATAACTCCCTTTGTTTTCTGTCCCCCCTCAACTCCCATGGAAACTCAGGGATTAATGGGGGTAGGGAGGTGGTGTCAGGACAGAGAATGGAGGGGTAGATATTTTACAGGTCAGTTTTCCTAATCCCCATGATGACTACCAAGGTCCTAATGTATCTCATTGATCTACTGATGGCCTAACCCAACTTTACTACGTGTCCAAGATAGAGATGAAAGGTTACACATAAAATGAAATTATCTGGATAGAAAGTATTTGCTAAATGGACATATAGCCTAAACATCCAGGAAATGTCTAGTATATTTTATTACTTGTTTATTTTATACTTGAATGAATTGCTTATCATGTTTCCCAAATTTAGAAAGAACGTACTAGGTGACAAAAGCTCATTTTCCATCTGCATTGAAGCTATAGTTCAAAGAATTGCTGGCCTCCAAGGCAAAGAGCTCAGGTTTCTTTCCCTGGCTATAGGAGATTGACATTTCTGCAGGTAAATGGGGCTGAAGTCCAGCAACCATTTTATCAGAGGACACTTCTTTTTATGATATTGTTTTGGCAATACAACATCATGGTGCTGTGGCACTTGGTGGTAAGAGGTTGGGATTTACAGCCAAAGGACTCTTGCTCCCATCTGGCTCTCACGCTTACCAGCAGTGTGGACCTTTAACAGAAGGTCTGTTTCCTCAACTGCAAAAAATGGAGATAATAATCCCTTCTTATCCTCCTTATATTTTTCCCCATAAGCATTAGATAAGATAACCTAGATCAGTTCCTCACATATAACAGGTGCTCAGTAACCTGTAGCTAAGGATTGATCAGATAGTGATGACGAGGACAAAGAAAGTGGCAGAGGAGGGTAAAGAATGCGTTAGGTCCGTTACCTACCGTAGCAGACGAGTGCGTAGTACTTGGCATAGTCGCTGAAACTTGCTGTGTAATATTGGCACCTTTTTCTCCTTAGATGGCAAGTAATGCACTTCTTGCTTGGAGGATAGCTTCCAATGCTAATTCTAGAGGAAAATGAAAATAAAACTAAGCTGAAATTTTGAGATTGTATTTATCAAAATGTACTACTCCATGTAAAATGACTAATTTACATATTGACATCAAACTCACTCTATTTTTCTGTTGCCAATATCGTTTAAAGTAAAGGGGGAATCACAGGATCTTGATTTGTCTGATTTTCAGTCCATCTTTGCCTGAATAGGCACAGACTTTGAGAGAGAAGCCCTCTGTGGTTTTCCTGCGGTGTGAGAAATATCTAACACCTCGAATGGGAGCCAAGTAGTCACTTCTCCTAACCATCACTTTCTTACACTTTACAAAGTGGTTGAGAATGCATAGTTCTTCCACGTCCCATCTTTCTTCCTGTGTTCCCACGGCAAAAGATACAATGAAGATCTGACAGTATCACCAAAAACAGGGGTCCCTGTCCTTATCATATATCTAGAAGGGGAAATTAGTAATAAGCCAATTGCAAATAAGAAACACGGTTCTAAGTAGCTCCTGTGGCTTTCATTTTATTTGGCAGGAAATTTGGGCTCATGGAAGCTCTTCCTGGAAATGTTCCCTCCACACATTCCTACACAAGCCAACCTGTACCTACCAAGTTTGGGCCCACTCTCTGGGTGACTGGCTTTAACAAACAGCCTCCCAGACTTTACCCCAAACGCTCAGAGTCTCATTTGGGGATGACCAGGTGGAATTATGCCAGGATGGAAGCACAGTTGGAGTCCTGCTGTGGCTAGTAAGGTTACCTGTGGCCACTGCAGTGTTCCTTCTGCTGCTGCCCCTGACCTTGCCTTGGGCATGTTAGAAGGTGGCCAGAGCTATTGCTATCATCAGAGAGGGAGTCTTCTCAACAGATGAGAAGCCATGATCCAGGAGGGAACAGAGGAATGCAGCAGAGGGAAAAATTTCTTATTTTCTCAGCTACAGTTAGTAGTATTCATGTTCATATTTTGGTGTGACCTTGGAAAACATTAGGTAGGCAGTTAACGTAAGGAGTTAAGGTCAGCATGCCCAAGTATAAATTTTGGCTCCAACAATACCACCAACCTCATAGAGTTGTTGTGGGGATTAAATGAAATTACATATGTAAAGCAGATAAAAATGTGCCTATAGCAGACCACCAGCCCATGGTAGCTATTGTTTTTGTTTCCACATCCAGAAGGGGCTTTAAAGGGCACCATTCCAGCCACCATGGGGGCCAGTGGACTAACTTAAACACTAATTTAGGAACAGAGGTGAATTCTTTCCAATCATAATAGGTTTATGACAAAGCAAGTCACATTAAAAGAAAGCACACATTATGGGAATAAATACAATGCCTGGTACACAGTAGGAAAATGAATTTCCTCAATTACCTCTAAATTTAGTTGAAATGTTTAGTACCATGTTTATATCAGCATTAAAATTTCTTGATTTTTTCTTTTTGAAAACAAACATTTTGAGTCAGCTAATATGTTGGGGGGGTGTATATTTTTATACTGATGTGGTGTACAACAGTCTTAATATTTTATTTTAATTCACAAATTAATTTTATTACATTTCAGCCTTTTAAAAATATTCTATACATTCTGAGGACTCTGACAGATTTTTATTTAAATTTCAATATATAAAAATACTAGAATAAATTGATATAAATTACCTATAGATATTTCGTCTTCCAGGGTAGCCTTCAAATTCATTGCTAGAATAAAACCTGAAAATATATTCAGAAGTTAGTAAATAAGTATTGATGACTAAATGGTGATAGAATTGTTAATACTAGTACTAATACAGTAAACAATATAGTCCAATGTTCATTTATGAAACAATTAATTGGCACTTATGTACACAAATCCCTGCTGTTCATACCTCTGAATTTTGTGTTCTTACTCTGACTTTATAAATTATAATTCATATATAAATATATTTATAGCTACATAAAATATTCTTATAAATATGTTTATAAATTATAGGAGAAAAATTATGTTGAGTACTCTTTTTTCTTATATGTATATTATACTCTGAGGCATTAGTTATGAGTCACACAAAATAAACTAGGATGTTTGATCAATATCACCCCTTTCATTTCCATAATTAACAGCCTACTGATTTTTTATGCTACACTATTTAATTTTGCCTATGATTCCAAACATCTTTAGAACTTAGTTTACAGAAGCACTGACAGTAGATAACTTTTCTATAAATCAGGAAACTCGTCCACCCAGGGATACCACACAAAGGGCCATGTGAATTTACCCAGGAGCAGAACAAGTCACAAGAGAACACACTTGTTACTTAAGTATCTGGGTCCCAGTTTTAACCTGTTTTACTATAGCCACGAAGTGGGAAATCCAATTTAGTGGCATAATTTTTCCTCCTCTGTGAGTTCATCTGAATATCACAAAGTAACTGACTTTTAATTTTTTATTTTTATTTTTAGGATGAGCTCTATTATTAGAGTGTTAAAAGTTTGGAATAACCTAGGTTTGGTTAATTTTTAATTATTTTTAATTTTTTTTAATTTTTAATTCTCAGAACTTTTTATTAACCCAGGTACTTGTATATCCTCACTGAAATAAAAACCTTGTTATCCCCAGTAAAAGGAAAAAGCAACAGAATACACCCTACTTCTAGTATTAATTTTACCTTTTAAACCAGCATCCTTCTAAATGCCTTTACTGACTTCACGGGACTCCAAACATCACTTATACTTGCCTTTCCCACATCACCTCAAACTACCTGTGAATAAACTATTCAGTAGCTTTTCCAAACAGCCTCCTGCAGTTTTCTTGCCATGTCAAAGTTTTCACAGTTGTCTTTATCTCTAACACTTAGAACAGAGTCTACTTTCTCTTTCTCCTTTTCCTTTTCCCTCACAGCCATTGACCCACCAGTGCTGTTCAGCCTCTCTCTTCACTGTCTGTCTACTCTTCCTTTCATTCATTTGACAGTAGTGTGCCAGGCACTATATGCCAAGTTCCAAAGATGCAAAAAAAAGGAGGCATAGTTTTCCCTTGGAGTCCAGGTTTCATGGCCACTTTTCTAGTTCAGTCCTCTGTCACCTCAGGCCTAGATTATGACCATACCTGGGTCTTCCTGCTTTCAGTTTTCCCCTACCTCCTAAACATATTATTTCTGAACTGTCCCATTTGTTTTTATCTTGTCACTCCTCTTACACGCGCGGTTTTAACGGCTGCCCCATGTAATGTCCAAACTCCTTTGCCGACAGTTCAAAGAATTCCATGGATTAGCAGTAGGTTTCTAAAGAGTTTTTATCCAGTGAGGTTGGACTAATGATCCTTCTCTTTTGCTCTTAGAACTCCAGCTAATGGCAGGCAGGTTACAAGAGAGTGCCCTGGATTTGGACTTTATTAAAAATAAGGGGAAGGAACTGCACATTCTTGATTAGAGATGTTTGCTCGTAAATGCTTATTTTAAGAAGATTTATTTAGACAGTACGCAGGATGGACTGAAAAGGAAAGACCTGGAAGGAAGAAGCCCCATGTTGAGGTTAATAATAAGAACCTTAGATTTAATGTGTTTTAGGTTTAAATCCTAGTTCTGCCACTATGTAGCCTTGGCCAAGTTAATTAAATTTCCAAGTATCAGTTTTCTCGTCTGTAAAACTGGGATCATCATTTCTACTTTACAGTACGTTGTACACAACAATCGCTCAATAAATAATAGCTGTTATAGATAATAATCTTAAACTTATATAACAGTGAATCACTACAGTAACATTTCTATATCAAGGGGCTGTCATCATGGACTTCTGAATCTTGCTTATTGCTTCAAGTGCTAGGGGGGAAATCTATCTTTAGAACCAGTTACTATTTTAAAATTTTTATACTTTTAATGTAATTATATACCAAGTGCCAGAAGAGAAATAACTACCTACTAAATCTTCTTTCCAAAAGGAAATCATGTTGACTAGTTATTAAAGAATATGCAATCTTAAAGAAACCACAGCTGTCTGAACTAAACTATAGAATAAGTAACAAAAATGCTCTTAACTGAAAGAAGTGGTGCTGTATCCTTTGTATGTCCATCAGTGCCAATTAAAACCTGAATGGTGCATCAAGCTTCATGCAATACTTACAGTGAATCCTGTGTTACTCTGAATATATTTATGGCCTCCCACTTGCCACTTGTAATTTGAATAGCATTTTCCTATAAAAAGACAAACATTATGTTGTGTGAAGCTGAGCGTTATTTGAGCAACCTCAAGTGAATGATCTTTGAGGAGATAAATCTTGGAAGGAACATACCACAGTGTCTTTGATATAGTGAATATGTTTGTAGCCATTCTTGTCGCTAAATATTTTGTAGTATGAAATGGCATCATAGCTGAAAACTGGTGTTGAAACAAAGAACTGAAAGAAATGAACAGAGGTTATGTTCAGAAGACAAACCAAACTATAGATTCTTTTAAAACCATGTGTAGTTATAATTATCGGGACCAGAATGCCTTTCTTCCCCTCCTTCCGTCACTCACACCTGAAATTCCATTCTTTCAGATGGACAGCTTTTCTGGTGCTTCTAACAAGCACTTACATATTCCAACTACTACTTAATTGCTACTACATACCCGTGGGTTTATATGTTTAGTTTGATTGAATTTCTATGTTCTGAGATTATGTGATTTGAAATTGAGTTAAACGAATCACAAATGAATGTTGATGTTTAACCAAGTCAATCCTCAAAATGTGGCTTTTGGCCAAAGTGACTCTTCTGAAGCTCTTTTAACTCTTGATTTGTCTGATGCCAAGCACCTAATGCTAATGCTACAATAAAGACATTTTAAAGATTAAAATATCATGACCTGCTAGCCACAGTTTTTAATGGCAAGAAGAGACTTCTGGACTTGAGAGAAAAATGTAACGCACGGCAAGCCAACAGGAGGATTACTCCTTGAACTCAGGGAGCAGAGCAGACCTCATTGCTCATCTCTGACCTCTTCCCAGGGCCTATGCTCTCCACCTGCTGGGAATTTCGGATGACCTAAGGAGTCCCTGCCACAGGTCTAGTGTGACCTGAACAGAGCAAGCCACACCTCAGCATCCTGAAAGGTACAGATAACCAAAGTCCTGCAAATGTCCTCACACCAAATTTTAGCTAGTAATTTCTCCCTTAAAAAAAGAGACTCATTTTACATCTGCTGGTTTCCTTTTTTTCCCGGTCATTGGGTTGGGGAAGGATGGTAATGTGATGAAAGTGTCCCATGAGGAAAGAGCTATTCCACATCACTCAGAGCAGAGCAGAGTAGATATTCCTACAAGTTATCCCAAAGCAGCTCTCTTAGCTGGAGTGCTTCCACATGACAGCAAACCAAGACTTTCAGATTCTTTAAAACTGCCCAAGCAACAAAAACCAAAAAAGACTACTGGTATCTTTCAGCTACAAATACCTATTTTGCTGATACCATCTTGCTGGGACCCACTTCTGAGCAAAAAGAAAGCAAAGGAAGTAGCTGTAGGCCTCTTTAATGATGGTCCTACCTGTGATTTGATACTTGATGCTTTTTGATAAAAGTCATGATTAGAATTTCATGATATTAAAATGCAACTTATTTGATGTGGTGTTGGTGGGGTCTAAATAGTGCTCCCCTAAATTCTTTTCAACCCAACCTCAGAAGATAACTGTTGTGGACTGAATGTTTGTGTGCCCCCAAAATTCATGTGTTGAAACCCAACCCCCCAAAAGGATGGTATTTGGTATTAGGAGGTGGGGCCCTTGGGAGGTAATTAGGATTAGATGAAGTCATAAGGTAGAGCCCTCACGAATGGGATTAGTGCACTTACAAGAGTCACCAGAGAGAGGGCTCTCTCCGCTCTGCTCTCCGCCATTGAGGATACAACAAGAAGTTGATGGTTTGCAACCCAGAAGAGAGCTCTCACCAGAACCTGACCATGCTGGCCTACTCATCTCAGACTTCCAGGCTCCAGAAATGTGAGAAATAATTTTCTGTTGTTTATAAGCCACTCAGTCTATGGTATGTTGTTATAGCTGCTCAAATGGCCTAAGACAATTCCCCTATCTGAAAATAGGGTCTTCACAGATGTAATCAAGGTAAGAACTGAGATGCAATCATAGTGGATTAGACTGGGCCCTATATCCAATGGCTGGTGTCCTCATAAGAAGAGATGTGGACTCAAAGAGACCCAGGGAAGAAGGCCATATGAAGATGGAAGCAGGGATTGGAGCTGGTGGAGCTCTAGCCAAGGAAGTCCAAGGATTGCCAGGGGCCAGCAGAAGCTGAAAGAGGTGAGGAAGGATTCTTCCCTGGAGACTTCAAAGTATGGCCCTGCTAACCCCTTGACTTTGGACTTCTAGCCTCCAGAATGATGAATTTTTGTTGTTTTAAGCCAAATTGGTGGTAATTTGTTACAGCAACTCTAGAGAACCAATATAGTGTCCTAAGTCTTATCTATTTGGCATAGAATTGATGTTTTTAACAAAATGTAAAATGGAATAATGAGAAACTGCTGTCTCCTTACGTGATTCCTTTATTAGTTTCATTAATAATAAGACCAGCCCTGGTAGGATTTTGTGTATTGATACTCAGTGAGATTGAGAGCCAAGAGGCCCTGGAATAGGAAATTCTGATTTGCAGTTTTGCTGATGGAATTTCACTAGCATAGGTCTGACAAATCACTCTTTCATCTTAGAATGAGGCTTTACCCTCTTAGCCAAATGATTACTTACTAGTAACCACTTTACAGTGTCTCCCTCTCCCCCCCCCCAAGATGAAAGACAAAAACTGGCTCCCCATTGTCTTAACCACTACAATGGAACTGGAGTCACAAAATATTATAAGGTGCCCTCGTAAAAAAAAATACTCTCTTTACATCTGCAGTTAGTTAGGGAACTCTAAAAAAAAGATTTAGTTCTAGATTAAAACTGAAAACTTCATTTTCATTGAAAATAAAAAATAAGAGGGCAGAGTGTTATGTTTTAAGATATTAGAATTGGGCAAACAGGAAGAATATTTTGCTAGGCAAAGACTGTTATCTTCTCCCCTTTTATTGCAGACATCCAAGACAGCTGCTTTAGATGAGCAGGTAACTTGGGTGAGGTAAAGAGAGTGTGAAATATTTCCGCCTTCACTTTGCCAGAGTGAGGTCCATAATGCATCCTGAGTTAAGTCCCTCTCGAGGCAGGTCACGCCTGAGCCCTAGATAAGCTCATGTCACTAGGTGGGCCTCAGTTTTAACAAGTCCTCTTCACAGGTCCCTTTATCATGCTTAGATGTGCTGGTAAATTCCTCACCTTTACGTGCAAAGCCACTTAAAATATTTTTCTTGGAAGGTAAGGTTATTTACCACCAGTTAATTTCTTGCCACAGTTGGTAAATAGCCTGAGGAACTACTAATCTAAGGCTTGTGCCTAAACTGAGTCCACATGCAGTTAAAAGCACAGACTTTCAAGCATCAAGTAGAACATCCATTTTTCTGAGCCAAAGGATTTTGCCAACCGCCTAAAGGAAGTGTGGTGTGTTGCTTAATTACTTTAAAATAATTTAAATGTGGCTTTGCAATCTAAGCATTATGTTTTCAGTGTTTCTTCTTCACATTTTAGTAATTAAATATTAGATTCTTTGATTAAATCTTCCTTTTTGCCTGTTCTCCACAGGGTAAAAAATATATACGTATTCAAAGTGAATTTGTTGCTGTTATTTTTCTAATCAAATACCAAAGAAGAAGTTATGGTACTTCCCCCAAATTAAGACACAATATCTCATGCAGGAGGAAAGGAAAGTGACAAGTAAAGTTCTTAAGAAACTACTTGCTAGTTCTGTGCCTGAAACTAACATGTTAACTACTTTTAGCAAGTCATTTAATCTCACATTTCTAATTCATAGGTGATCTCCAAAGGTCTTTTTCAATTTAAATCTCTTTGATAAATACTAAAGGAACAACTCCTCTAAAATTGCTCTTTAAATTTATATTAATATGACTAGCCTGTACACTTTATCCAAAACCCTCATAAATATTATTTGAACAAATGTCTGAAAGACAAACATTTCTAGGTTATTTCTGGGCACTTTTATTAAGCCACTGGTTTGATTATAGGTCAAAGGAAACTATGCAGCATATTACCACACATGAGTTATAACTAAATAAAGTCATGAGTTCAAAAGATGTGTCAGAACTTATAAAATCTAACTACTGACCTCTTGAAAGCAGTTGCCTTGGGGAAGTGTGAACTTACTCTTGAAAGCTATCACTTCAAAAAAAATTTGACAGTTCCTCTTCTGATATTCAGAAAGTTTACTGACTATTGGATACATTTGAAGAGATTGAGATTAGTACACAAGAAAAATAATTTTCCCAATAGAATTCTAAAGCTACAGATATTAAAATGATCTAGTGCAAAATCATATGTTGCAGATACACGTTTCACTTATTCACTAGATTTATGTTGGCATGGCTTTTGATTTAATGTAGAGACATCATCTTCCCTCAAAGGACACATATGTGCTTCCACTGAGGGTATTTAAAACAATATTCTAAAGCTTTAGAAGGCAATTCATTCATTCACTCATCCATTCATCCAGCTACTGTTTGCTGAGATTGCAAGGCTGGTGCTATACAAACTATAAAACTTGATAAGATACAATTGTTTTCCTCAAGATGCTTATACATAGGAGATTTCAAAAGATGCATTCTAAAATAGTTCAGTGTGTTTTGAATGGTGGCACTATTTTCAGAATAAATGTGTATGGATTCTTAGATCATGTCTTTGATAAGGTTGTTGGTATCGTTATCTATTTGTAAAATCACATCATTCATGTTACTTTATAGAAACTCTAGTTATACTATCTTCGTGGAGAACACAGCTAAAGGACATATTCAAGTGTTCTTTCTTCCCTCATTCTTTACAGGAAATCTCTATAATGGCAGTAAACTCATAAATTAATTTTTTCCCTTTCCTCAAGTTTTCAAATGCTGATCTAGGAATTATCTTTCTGGAAGGTGAGCTTCTGATTGACCAAGAATCCAAAAAAATTATAAAATCCTGTTCTTTCACTGACTGCTTCTCATGTTTCCTGTGTTATTTAGTACAGCGTTGAAGAGTGAATTAAAATAGGATTTTCAAGACTTCCCTGGTGGTCCAGTGGTTAAGACTCTGTGCTCTCAATGCAGGGGGCCCAGGTTGCATGCTGCAACTAAGAGCCCGCCTACTGCAGTGAAAAAGATCCCATGTGCCACAATTAAGTCCCAGTGCAGCCAAATAAATAAATAAATATTAAAAATAAAATAAAATAGGATTTTCCTTTTTTTCTGAATTACACACTTATCCTTGTTACCTTATTTTAGAATGTAATGTACATTTACTTATACAATTAATAAAGTAATAACTATTCTCTAGTTAATGAATAAAACGGAAGTATCTTTAACTGAAGACAGAAAGTAAATATATGTAAGCTAAAATTGCTGAATCCAGGAAAGTATACAGAAAAGAATTTTGAATATCTGAAGATTTTTACTTCACTTCACATCCCATCTTAATTTAAAGTTTTACAAGACATCATCTTAGAATTGATTTCTGAATTCTTTATCGTCCCTTGTCTTGGGTTAATGTGTTAAACTAGTTCTTAAGAATTTCTTTTTTCTTTGCATGTGTCCAAATTTCAGAAGCAGCAGCCTTTTTTTCCCACCCAAATGCTAGCTGAAATCAACCACATGTGTGTGGTAAATGGACCATCCACACAGCATTCACGTATTATCTGTCCTATTTTGTATTCTCCATATAGGATATAAGATACAATTGATATTTTCCTAAAACATGATTTATTTTTACACAAAAAATCCTTATAAATCACTGAATAAAACTATTCCAAAAAAATCCAGATATATGTGATCACAAACCATAACAAAACACACACTTCCCTATTTGATACCACTTTACTTAAAAACTAGAATGAATATGCATATATATGAAATACATCTAATCATTTTAATTTATATAAAATTTAATAAGCAGTAGGTTGTCTCTAAACCGAGGATACCCAATGTAATTATTTTCCTTGGATTCAAATGGCTAATAATTATTCAGATTATTTTAAGCAATTCGGGGATTGTATTCTCTTTTGAAAACTGATCTTTATTGTATTTTTAAAGAGGTAATATTAATTATGGATATCAGAGAGTTGATTGAAAAAGTTAAGTTTGGAACATGAGGTATATGATTTATTCTTAATAGAATTCTAAATATATATACATTAAAAATTGTCTGGGGCTTCCCTGGTGGCGCAGTGGTTGAGAGTCCGCCTGCCGATGCAAGGGACACGGGTTCGTGCCCCGGTCCGGGAAGATCCCACATGCCGCGGAGCGGCTGGGCCCGTGAGCCATGGCCGCTGAGCCTGCACGTCCGGAGCCTGTGCTCCGCAATGGGAGAGGCCGTAGCAGTGAGAGGCCCGCGTACCGCAAAAAAAAAAAAAAAAAAAAAAATTGTCTGGCACAAAATTACTGAAGGGATCACTACCTTTGTGTTTTTTACCTTGATATTTTTCTATAAAAGCAAGTAGTGCCAGTTTGGATACATTTCAAATAGTCCTTTGATAGCTGAGAATTTCATTAAAAGATAAGGAAAAGATAGCAATCATACTCCACCAGCCCATCCAGTTCTGCTTTCTTCTATATGTTCCTGGGTCTAAAAGAAAAAAAAGATCAAATAAAGCATAGTATTAGGAGGACAGTTTTCCCTAAATATAATCTGGACATTTGAACAAGTTAAGCTGCCTGGTCGGAGTATATTATTGCTAGTCAACTAACTTCACACTTGAGTTTAAGATGACTATATTCAAAATCTAATACAACACCACCATTGCGTACACAAGGATGATCTAAGGGCTGTATCTTATTGCAAACCATTCATAATTCTGGTTAAATTTTCCATAAGGCAGTGACTGGAATTATGACAATATCTATGGAGGCCTAGCACAAGCCAAACCCTTGGTGTCATGTAGGTAAAAAGGCATTTCACAGAGGAGTTTAGGTTAAATTTTTTCTTTTCTCAATCTTATGAAGCAGCTAGAAATCTTAAAATTTGCACTGAATCTTATTTTGGTATATATTTTAGCATAGTACAATCAATCATTTACTGAACAAATATTTAATAAGCCCTAAAAAATGAATAGACTTTTCTAGACAATTAGAGGATAAACATTCTAGATAGAATGAAAAGCATAGAGACAAGGCCAGCTTAGAAAACCACAGGTGGCTCAGTATGGCTGAATGGAGGGTGACTGTGGGAAAGAGAAGATGAGAAAATGTATAGGGATCAGCAAGATTGTAGAGAAAATTTTATTCCACCCTAGGAAATTTGGATTTCTCCTGTAGGTAAGTCCTTTGAAAGACTTCAGAATCACAATTTAAAAAATATAATTGGGAACATGATACAGAGAATGGATTAAGTGGGTAAGATAGAGGGAAGCACAAAGAGCCATTAGAAGGCTACTGCAATGTTGGAAAAAGGATGCTGAAGACTCAAATCTACGTGCGGTAGTGAGGGTGGAGCAGAGAAGATGTAGCCAGAGATACATAAAAGTTCAAATCCTCAGAATGAACTTGTAGGGCAAGTGGTAATTGAAAACCTCTAGTATTAGATAAAAATCACCTAGGAGAATAATAGAGTTGTGACAGAGACTGTAGGATAATTAGTAACCATTTCCTGTTTTTGCTAGGACTTCAGGTAGGCTACATTTTCCAGGCCCCCTTCCAGTTGGATGTGGTCATGTGGTAAGTTCTAACCCGGAATATGTGAGCGGAAGTGACCCGTGCTGTTTCTGCACTTAATCTGTAAGATCCTCTCACATGATCCTCCATTCTTTTTCCACCCCGCCCCCCCCCCCGCCCCGTGAATGTTGATGACCAGGTTTGAATAACCTTGACTATCCTTAGAAGCCACTAGATGAAGATAGCAGAAATGTTATCAACCTGTGTTCCTGAATGCCTCTGTTAAGCAGGGGACCCCATCCCATACCCTCACCATTCCCCACTTACCTGGACTCACTATTAGATGGTTACATGAATGTGCAAAAACTTCCTATTGTATTAACCCACTGAAATTTTGGAGGGGTTTTGTTGTTGTAATTGTTATAGCAGTTAGCCTATCTTGCAAATACATTAACTTGGAAAATAATAAGATTTCTAGAGAAGTCAGAAGAGGAAGAGCTGGAAAGGAAAAGAACAGTCAGTAAAGTAGAAAGAACCACGAGAGAGTACTGTCAAAAAAAGCAAGGGAATAATAAATTTTAAAAACACAGTTTGGATTTTCTCTTACAAGGATAGGCCAGTGTCTCAGAGAGAACAAGTTAAGACAAGACTTAATAAAGCAAAACTTTTTTGATTCATTATTTCTAGTTATTAAGATAAAATTAATTTTAATTCCCTTTTCAGAGAAGAAAGAATACTATGATGTCTCTCCCCCAAACTACAAATTTCTTAATAAATCTTATTAATATAGTTATATTAAGCAATTATTGTCAGTTTCCTTTGCCTCTTTGTTTTGGGTATGACTCCCAACATGAATAAAGTGTAGCCGTCACTTAACCTTAAATGTTATTTGTTTTCAAAACAAAACACACACACACACACATACACACACACACACACACACACACACACACACACACACCAGTCATGAGTATGGTTACTGGAAAATTCAACCCTGTTTTTCTTAAATCTGAAAATATGTTCCATGAACTTACCAGACTATTTTGAAACAGAGGTTGTTTTGAAATTCTAAGGTTATTCAAACCTGGTATTCTAAACTTAATCATTGATTTTGGCCATAAAACTAAAGCTTATATTCCAGGGAATTCCACATCTCATTGAATGAGCATCTTATATGTTCTGTCAGTTTGGATTAAGTTGTCTCAGATTTGATAAATTAGAATTTCAAATTCCAAAGCAATCACAGTTTTAAATGCCTAGTTTTAAGAGCTAAAAATTGTATCTAAATGACCAATCTTATAGTTTTAAACTAGTAAAATTAAAGCAATAATTCCTAGTATCTAGCTTCAATGAAAACATTAAAGTTATATTCACCCAAAGCTGACTAATCAGACTGATGGCTTTTAATTAACTAGAACAATCAAGTTTATTCTTTTTTTTTTTTTGCCTATGATACTGCATTAAAGCCAAAAAAATCTTTCTGCTTTGTATATCAAACTATAAATAAGATAAAAATCAGCTCTAACATATTCCATCAAAATTAGTCAAGCTTCTTATAGACACAGTAGTGATTTAAAAATATTTTTAGCCTGAGTAATGTTGACTATTATAGTCCTGATATACTTCCAAACAGATTCATATGACTTTTTTCTTGCAAAACATAATGTCCTAATTTCTAGATGGAATTTAGTGTTTTACTTTGATTGCTTTGTGCTTTTTTTCTTACTTTATAAAATAGGTTTATTCTATATTTGGTTTAATGAAACATTTCTTCATAATTAGATGTCTCATGAAATGTACCCATAAAATTTCCTATTTAAAGAAAACATTTTGTGTTTCTTAGTCTCTAATATGAGTACTTATGAACAGACTTATTTTGAAGATTTTTCTATTGGTGAAGTAGTTTTCTGACTCATTAATTCAACAGATTATGTTTGGATTTGAGCAATAAAAACAATTAAAACTCAACAATAAATCCGTGCCTAGTTTTTAAGTTTTTTCTCCCTAAAATTAGCACAGTATTGAGCACTCTTCTAAGATAACAGGATAGCAAGATAATTTGATCTGTTTCATGTCATTCTTAGTTATCTACGTTTGATTTTCAAATGGGAGTATTTGGCTTTCCTTTGATAATATTTGTTTACTCTGGAGTTTTTATTTTTCAGTTTTGACATTGAATAGAACATGTTACCATTTGCTAATTCTTTTGAATAGAACACATCTATTTCCTTAATGGACCCATCTTATCTTTTCATCTTCATTATTTTGCTTTTTTTGACTGCCAATCTTATAATCTTAAAAGGATGGATTTCCATCCTAATGGAAATTTCCATCCTACTGATTTTCCCAGTATTACATTGTTTCATTTAGTCTTTTTCTCTATTCAGTTTCAATGCTAAAATCTTTCAAGAAAGCAAAAGGTATCTTATTTATTTAATAAAAATAATGAAACTTTGAATAGAGAGGTTTTTTTGCAATTGAGAGTTGAGTGCAGTAATTCTGCTTTATAATATAAAATGTTAGCTATAAATAAGTCACCACTCTTGTACTTTCATCTTCAGAAACACACCTCTATGGTTTTAATACAACTTACCTTTGGACAGCTCCATGTCTTCCAGTCTTCCCTGAAATCACATATAGATAAGACTGAAACATTCTGGATTCTTTTCAGCCACTGCAAACATATTCGCTCATCAGTAACCCATGTAAGCCAACTGAAATAATAATCACTGCAAACAAATCAAAACAGACAGTCACAACCATAAACCAAGATCACATTCAAATAATTTCTTAATTTGTGCTTTCTAAAGGATGTATTTTATCATCTGAAATATTTATTCCATAGATAAGGAAGGCAAAACATTCCTTTCTCTGCAGAGAAAGTTTAAATATACCTGCTGACTTTTAAAGAATATCTATAAGAGAGTTCATTCATCTAATAGAATGAGTTTACACTTGAGTTTTCTCCCAGTTGGGATTTTTATATCTCAGGAAAAAATTTAAGACGGAAGGCCAAAGCTACTGGTCAATCTAGAGGAGAAAAAGCATTAAACTGGCTATTTTCCCGTAGCTAAACTCAAATTTTCGCTTCTTAACTAGTTGAAAGAGAGCTAAGTGGGTAAAAGATAGGCAGGCTTGTGTTGGAAGCCGAGTTTTAGCTGTGACCATGGTCAGGGGTTGAAATTCAGGTTAATAAAATGGAGATGATGTATGCAAAGTAACTCAAACAATGCTTGGCACAAAGTGGATGTCAATGAAAGGCAGCAATGGTTACTTGGCTCTGAGGGTGAACTTGTAGTTAAGAGAACAGCAATATAAATGAACCACAGAAAGTTGGACATTAATATAAAAGGAATCACAGAGCTAGAAGGGGTCTCTGGCTCAGATTCTGGCTTTATCTCCTACTAGTTATACTACCTTAGGCTAATTACTTAACATACCCAAGGCTCTGTTTCTATATAAAATGGGAATAATAATAGTACCAGTTTTAAAGCTTTCTGTAAAAATCTACTGAGAACGCTTAAAGTGCTTACAGACTATGCTCACTACATAGTGAGTGCTCAAAAAATGTTAGCTATTACTATTGTATTGTTAGTATTTTACAGATGCTTAAACAAGCCTCATGACTCCATACATGATGCTCTTCCTATCATTCTGCTTGCCTCCTAAGGAGAATGACACATAAAAAACCAGATGTATTCAGTCAAGTTTTCATCAACTAGATTAGGGTGGGGAATAATGGATAATTTAAAAAAGCCATTTTTGATTATCAGAGAGGGGATTCATCTTGGCAAAGCCCAGCAGAGGTCTCTGATGAGGTTTTTTTTCCTATTAGTGATCAATCAACTGGCCCCGGTGGGATAGGGTGTGGGAAGGGGTAAGGAGGGCCACCAGGCAGGGCTTGCGGACCCCTCCCCTTTACCCACTTCAACCTGAATGACCAGGACTAATCAGACAAGATGTACATAGGGCACCATGCTGGGGAAGTGAGAATGCTTCTGTCCCTGTCTGCCTGCAGTTAATTCCAAAACAGATAATTCTACAACCAGACCGTTTCAAATAGACTGCATCCTAGTGAAAAACGCTAATATTTGGAGAGAGTTGGCGTATCTTCTCCTGTTTGCCATACACATGTGATAAGCATGATCTACAAACCCTGGGAGAAAGTAGGTCAGACTTGGAAGAAGCCAGGATGAGGATATATATGAATTTTACTATCTCTCTGTTTGTCTCTAGCTTACACTCACACATCCAGAAGTAGCACTTAGACTGAGCACCATGGTCATCTTTACATGTGTGAAAAGGGCTAATATTTTCAAATCAATTTAAGAAAATTATTTGTGAATTTCGATTTTGCTATATATTTAGCTGGGCATGCTAATTTTATTTATTTATTTATTTTTGCTGTAGCATATACATCATAAACTCATTAGAAAAGAAATGTAAACCTTGATGAAGAAATTTCAGTGTTAAATTCAGTTTGAAAAGTGGGAAGCAACAGAGATGACTATACCTTGAGGCTATCATTGCTGGAACTGGCGCTTCTCTGGGACCTACATGCTCAGGGTAAGTGGCATCAACAATAAAGATCCGAACAATGGGATTCTTAGCTCCAGCCTGTGAAGAAAATGGAGATATATAAGCTCATAAAATTCTAATTATCACCAACTTTTTAAAGACAGTTTAGGAATTTAGGCATATTTTTATAAGCTAACTATGTTAGGTATATTATTGTTGAAAACATTCTAATTATAACATGACCACGAATTTCACTGCAGTACAATTACAAATCTTGTGCAACCAGAGTGAAAACACATATTCTAAGTGATTAATGAGGGAGCCTTGATTCATAGGGAAAAATATTTGGGCTATAAAAATGCAGTTCCGTAAGTGATATTCTCTTTTCTGACTTTTAAGACAGATATTTCCCATTATAATTGTTATTAGGATAATTAATCATAATAATATTTCTTCACGTGCCAAGGGGAGTGCCGAGGGGGATTGATTTGGGGAAGAGAGGGTAAAGAATAGATAATGAAAGATACCTTTTTCTTTTACCCTGTAATTTGGTCTAGGACAATTATCAGACAGTCTACTAGCTGGTTACATTATTACTGCTATCAATACTCCCAAATTAGGAAAATTCCACCTCAAAATAAAGTGTCATGGGATTTACGCTGTTCTTGCTTTGTGCTTTACGTGCTAGTATATGCCCTAGATTTACATGACAGTATAGTTCATGCCCAGACATCTTCTTAGAGTTCTGTTACTTTACCACAGAAAAGAGAATCTTATAATTGTCAAACAATTTAAATCCACAAAATTTAGATATATAGCCATAAATGGCTCCATGCTATTTGGCTTTATCTAAGAAATTGTCCAGGCTCTCCTCACACCTTCCTGTTTCACTCTGAGGTTTAGGTGGGACTTTCTGCTTCTTTCAAGTTGTCTCACTTCTCAGTTCAATGTCAGATGTTTCAGCAACTTCAGCCTTCAAAGAAACATGAGAATTTGGGTCCTGACTTCTCTGTCCATGTGAGTTTCTCCTCAGTTCTAGATTTCTTCATCTCTTTCTGCACCCTACCACCTTCTAAAGACCCAAGTCCTTTTACATCTTTTGGGTTCCAAGTATCATACCTCTCACTTCCAAACATCTTAGCTTTCAGACTTTATATACAACCCTGAGGGGTCTCTTACCTAAACACTCATCTCCTACCCATTGCCTTTTCTCAAAAGACTTTTAACATAAATTTTAGACTATCTGGAATTTCTATTTCTCTCGCTATGGTCACTTTGAATTGCTTTGGAATCCACTTGTGTGTATGCATATCCATCCCGTCTTTGTCACATATAGGGACCCATTGGCTCCATCTATGACAGTGTTCCCCTTGGCAAGGGAAAACAATCACGACTTAAGAACAAAGAGCTAAATCCTAAAATCACTTCCACTCCTTGTGCAAGAGGAGAATTTATGATTTGATTCCCTTTCAGATTTCTTGTCTAAATTAAATTAGGATACGACGTTTCTCCACCGTGACCTGGCCATTCTTCTTTTGCATACAGGTTGACTGTCTTGAGACATGGGACTGCATGTGAAGTATGTAAGCTAAGGATTCTAGAATGTTTATACGAGAAACTGAGGGCTTACACCATGTCTAATTCCCTCAAAGAAGAGCCTAGGCTTATAAACTTAACCTACCATGTATGTCCAGAAAAGACCATAACTCAGGCTTACTTCGACCTGACAGGAGCACCACATTCAACATTTTAATTTCCCATTCTACTTTGAATTTACATGAGAATTCAAGAGGGAATTGCAAAACAGAACTTTACCCGAATTTGGAGCATGAAATATGAAAAAAATTAAAATTAAGTTAAGCTTGTTTTTCCTCCATGATCTAGACCATATGTTTTTCAAAGACTCTGCAATGGTTTTTGCAAAGACTACTTCATCCAGCCCAACCAGATGTCCAAAGCAACAGATGTCCACATAAATAATAGAGCACAGTACAATGTTTGCCTTACAATGCACCAGGATAAGAAGCTCTCCAAACTTGTTGATCCCACCTCTATTCATGGTATTGGTTGCTCATTTTGACACCAGGGAAATGGAAGCATCTGCTAAAAGTATTCCACATACCTTTGGGTATGGAATATTTATTGTTCTAGGATATTGTTCATCACCATAATAGGAATAGGCAATAACTGGTATCTCTGTATCATTAAATTCTGCATATGCCAAAAATTTTCCATTAGGAGACCACCAGAGAGCATATTTTGTAGCAAGCATTTCCTCTGAAAAATAAATACTACCATATTAATTACTATGACAGTGTACTGTTAAAATCATCATAAATACTTCAAAGTACATTGTATATAGCCATTTATTAACTGAAATAATATATTTAATGTGGATATGACATATGCCATGCTTTGGTTATCAAAAGATAAATGATCTAGGTTTAGAGGAATAGTTTAACTTAATACCCCATATCAAACATCAATTAGTCTTCTGGGGAATTGACATTAATCAGAAATGTAATTTTTAAAATAAATAGTAAACATTTCAACAATAATTAATTTTCCCTTTGGGGGCCGCTTCTGATTTTTACAGTCATCTAAATTAGCCAAAACAAGGAGAACTGTACTTATACTACAGAGTGACATTAACTTGAAAGTTGACTTTCTCTCCTGGGAATATTTTTTAAAAAACAGTTAATTCAGTTATATACATTTTTAATAAAGGCAAGGACTAGAAGACCTTTTAAAGTCCAGTTAATTCCTAGATACTACATGACCCAGAAAGAGGACAAAATTCATGAGAGCACCAAGAGCCGAGAATATTTTCCTGCAAAATAATACAGACAGTTGTCTAGTTTTGGAAAAAAGGTTTATTTTGCAAGAAAAAAAAAACCCGAGAAAATGTACTAATACAGCATCTAAGGACCATATACTTCTTGGAATATAAATTATTGCTACCACTTTATAATGCTCATGAAAATAAATTCTGCAAGTCAGATAACAAGATTTTGTTCTTTCAGAATTTGCACGTCCTGTTCATAACCTGATAACAGCTTTCAGAAATGCCACCATTCATCTCAGTAACATACCACTCATCTAAACGTTACTAAACGTGTGCGATTATTTTCAATTAAAAGCCTAACGGCAGCAGTAAAAAAAGAATACACGTACCTTCATAAACCCAGTCTGGGATTCCATTAAATATTTTATTTTCTTTTCCATTATATGTTATTTGAAAAGGTGGGTCTTCTGGTCTTTGTTTCAGATAGATATTGTTTTGATAGACATATGCCTAGAAGTGGTGGTAAGTTAGTTAACAAGGAGAAATTTCATAAGAAATACAATAAAGCCTGCATGTTTGTGTTAATCGTTCACCTAATACTTTTAAAAAGAGTGATAATCCAGATGCAAAAAGGCTCACAACTAAGATATCATTTTAATAGGTCAAGAAACCCCAACCAACTTATACTAACATTATGATTTTTAACATAACATAAAAATTATGATTTTAAAGTCTATATATTAAATAGAGATTAAAGTCTGCTATTATATTCATTGCCTTTATTACCTAAATAAATAATTGTGTATATTGACAGAAAGTCAAATAAATCTCTGAATATTAATAGCTAGCCAGATCTAATCTTTATTTAGAGTCCTTAAATAAGAGCTTGGACAAAATTTCATGTTGTCTGAAGCTAGTCTGGGAAACTTGTGAAAACCATATTTTTCCTGAGCTTTCTGGCACAACGCATTCTGGCTGAGTATAAGGATAAAGTTTTTGACTGCGATATTTAAAGAAGTCTATCCATGAGCTTGAGATTTTACGGAATTCTCAGATGGGTTTCAATTTATCAAAACTCTTCCCGTTTTTAACCACTTAAAATAGTCATAAATGTATTTTTTTTTCTTTCAGGCATGGAAATTTAACAAAGGCCAAAATCAAATGGCTCCTCTTTTATTTGAATGATTAAACACTTCTATAATTTAAACATTTACTAATTTACTCCCAACAGGCGACCAGCATAAATATTGAATTGGACGAGGAAGCTCATTTCTTCTTATAAACTCTCTAGAAGAAAAGAAAGAAAATAAATAAATAAACTTTGCTGTTCAATGCAAATAACAGGTATAAAAAGAAAAAAATAAACAAACAATAAACATAAAGCATCATCGTTTCTGCTTCTTCAAACCTAATGGAAAAAATGTGACAACATGGGACAGAGGACATGGGGTAGTAGTTGGAATTCTTCACTAGTTACTTACAGGTCGTTTAACTTCTGACCTTTTATATTGAGGTGAGTGGATTAAAGGGTTATAGACTGAGAAAGTGGGAATACCTCCAGAAATTACCTAATGGAACCCCCCTCATCTTATAGAAAATAAACTTGAGGTTAGAGAAATGATATGACTTTTTAAACATCATATCACTAGCTCTTGGAAGACCCCTCATTAAACTCAAGACTTTTAACCCTCAGGACTGTAAAATGTGTACACACCAGGCTGAGATGGTTGCTGAAGCCTTCCAGCTCTGAAATTCTATAATTGTGCTGAAGTTTAATATGTACTCTTCCACATTTTCATTCACAACCGCCATCTCTGTGAATGCATATGCATTTCAAATTTTTGAAAATAAGATGCCATTTGACAATCTCCCCAGGGATCTGACTTGAAATCAGAAAAGGAAAGGAACATCTGATCTCAAGCTAAACTGAAAAAACAGATCATATACTGGGCAGTATGCCTTAAGCTTGAAAGTCCTCCACTCCACCCATGGGAAAATTTCAAATACATTATTGACCAAAAATCTCACTTTGATGCTTAGAGTCGCCCTGCAAATACTCAATTGACTGACTTGCACTGTGGAGTTTCTACAGTTCTTCAGCAAGAATGTGTTCAGAGTTTTATAAGTGTTAAAGACTTGTAGGATGCTGTGCTTAAGTTTTGACTATTATCTTCTTGAAGACTGTATGAATAGTTTCATCAAGAATGCTTTTGTGGAGATGCAAAACAAGACCTGCCTCCAAAGTATAATGTGAAGAGCTTGAAGGAAGACTCCTTGTCTGCCCCCTCCAAAAAAAATCTCTCCAACCTGGACCTAAACATATGCTTGATATTTCTACTTTTCCCATTCTTTTAAATTTTGGACACCTGTGAAGATGTGCAGCACACGTCACCTTGATTTAACTTATTAGGTCATGAAGTATGAGGCCTAGCGACCAATGAGGGAACATGGCACTAGACAGATCAGCTTTGACTGGAGAAAGAGTGATGTCCCCGGAGGAAGGAGACTATTGGTGCTGCAGTGGGAATCCTGATTGCTGGAGGGCAGTTTATGAGCACCAGGCCCCTGGGAAGTCTGGAACAGATCAACATATGAGGGCACAGGCAAAAGAACGTCCCAGAAGAGAAGACATTCATCCCTCGTTTACAATTCTCTCTCAAACCAGTGTCCATGTTACCTTTGACATTGTAACACTGCCTTAGGTTTCCATATACCATGGAATCACCTATGCAAGCATGCAGACAGCACCAAGCTGAAAATCTCAGTGCATAGTTTCTTCATGGCAGGCGGGTCACCACAGCTGCCATTGTCTGTGTTTTACAGTATGAGAGAAAGTGGAGGAGCGTGCTTTACAAAGGCTGTCATCTCCTCCGTCATCCTTCCCTTGCTTGAAATCAGAACTATCTTCATTTTCTCTATGGTAGATTTTTTTATAAACCTTTTGGAGGCACATAGAAGACTTGGAATGAGTGATATTCCATCTTGCCTTGAATCTCAACAAATTTGTCATTCTTCACTCCTTAAATTATGGTATATTTACCTGACAAAAAACCAATCTGGCAAATTAGATGGTTGTGCAAGAAAAAAACAAACAAAATAGTGGTTTGATTAAATTCACTGCACAAAAGCTAAATATTTAAAATGATTCTAGGCCATAAAGCTTATACAAACCATGATTGAAATATTAGTGTTGTCATCTTCTTTTGGAGTGCTGTTTAATTTGGTGAACCTCAACATAGGTAGGACGTGGAGAATTTCAAAATGATTAAAAGAAAAACAAGGAAATTCTACTGAAAGAGTAAGGTTTCCACTTCACTAGTCTAAAGGTTTCTTGAGAATAGGGTTGGTGCCTCAAGCTCATTTGTGTCTCCCCACATATGCTTTTCACATAGTAAGTGCTCAATAAACACTTCTTGAATTTGGTAACAATGTGGATACAGAGAAAAAGACTCAGAGTGCATTAGATGGATTTAGAGTCTACGTTACATTGCAGTTCCTATTTCTTGATTTGACAGTTTAAGAAGATCAGAGTTATTCTTTTCTGGACATTTAAAAGAAGTAGAAACATAAAGTTCAAAAAAATTTTTGTGTTCTTACTAGACAAAAGGGGAAATAGACCATAAGATTTTTCAGTGCCTCTTCAAGCCATACAATTATTTTCACTTTTATATAACAGCAAATAGGATATCACATTAAGATGAGTAATTTAACCAATTCATTGTCCATACTTAGAAAGATTTTTCTAAAGTGCAAATCTGATCATGTCATTTCCCATCTAAAACTGTTCAGTGATTCCCTATTGTCATCAGAATGAGATCCAAACTGTTCTTAATGGTTTCCTCATTATTATTTGGTCCATGATTTCTGGCCTCAACTCCTTCCTAAACTTACACCACCTCCTACTAGTAAGCATGCCCTCCTCCAATTTCAACTCAACTGACCTACTTTTGAGTTTCCCCAACACTCCGTGCTTTCATTTCCTTTTGGGCCTTTACATGTTGTTCTTTCTGCCAGGAATTCTCTCCCTCAGTCCTTTGCCTACCTACTCATTCATTTAATTTTTTTTCTTTTAAGCTGTAAATATTTCAAATAATTAAACATAAAGATAAAAAAATAATATAATAGATGACAATTTAACATCTAAATTTAAAAGATATTAACATTTTACATTTTAAAAAACAATTCGTTTAAAATCAATTAAATTTAAATTTAATGCTGCATCTCCCTCCCTTCTGCTTCCTTCCAGTGAAGGAGCCCCCTCTCCCCAACATTTTGTATCATTCCCATGCATTTTTGGTACTTTTATAAATATGTGTACTTTTATAAATTATATATTTATAATTTGGTGTTCAAAAGTAGGAAAAGTAAAACTATAGAGTATATAAAAATGTAAGATATTAGTCAAATAAAAAGAGGTGAATATTCCAAAGGAGTATTTCTTTGAATTTCTTAAGTTGTATAGGTATACATATATTGTAAAGAAGTAAGAAATTAAGACCAGAAACAAGGGAACGCAGTCTTAATCTCAAATCAGAGTCTGGAGTGAAAAAGTCTCTATATGAGACTTAAGTAGTGTTAATAAAAAGACATGAAGTTTTACCCATTTGTAAGGTGGTAGATGTGATACGTTGCTGTGTAAGAGTATCTCCAAAGCTGTCAGGAAGAAGAGGCAAAGACAAATCATGATTCTTAAAAAGCTCAGGGCAATAACGTATAATCATAGGTCACTCAATTCAAGGTTCAGAATTATAAAAGGACTATTTTCACAAAGCACTAGGAAAGACATGTTTCAATTCTAAATGAGTCTCATTTAAAGAGTTTTACTGTGGACTTTTGTGCTGTTCATCCAAATTCCAGAACTAATCTCAGCAGTGATTCAACCCTCACTCCATAAAAAGCATATCCAAAGACATTTCTTAATATAAAAAGCATTTCTCTGACACACTCTACCCTACAAAATGTTCCCCTTATGCTTTACCTTGATTGAAGTAAAACCACTATAATTTTCAAGTCCCATAAAGATTACCCTGCACCTGGGTAATTATTATGATAATAACCCTTTAAAATTGGGTGAAGAGAAGTTATTCAACATATAGTTTTGTTGCAAAATGCTTGCTTTTCTTTGAGCATAGTTTTTTAAAATAGTAGAGACTGAAAAAATAAATAAGAGATATATAGCATATAATTCCTCCAGAAAAAAAGACTGCTCGGTTCTCATTAAGTTTATTTGTGCTGTGGTTAGGGAATAAAGCAAGTATTATTCTGGATTTTGTTTCCTAAAGGGCTTTCAAACTTTTGGCAAGGAAGCTCCAGTGGATTGAAACATATCTTTCTGAAGATTGCAGGTGACCAAGACCTGGTCCACTGGAAAATAATCAGCTGTCTGAACAATGCGGGAGGGGCAAGCTTGACTTTTCATTCTGTGTATTAAGGGAGTTTTGCATCTCAAGTAGAATATGAAAAATGGCAGTTAAAACAAAAGGTTCTTGATCTAAGAGTAACTATTAGAAGTTGAATTTGATAGTAAATTCTTCTTTCCTTTTACCAGCATAAGTAGAAAAAATAAGGTGATTATCTTCCATCCACAACTTCATTCAGGAGGGGGAACTTAAGTAAGGCCTAATAGTCCAGCTATGTGGGATTCTCCTACACTAGGCTTTCGAAGACACAGATTTAAACCCCTGGTCTACCAGGGTTAATTTATATATATATATACTGACTGTGGAGAAAAGGGAACCATTTTGCACTGTTGGTGGGCATGTAAATTGAAACAGCCACTATGGAGAACAGTATGGGGGTTCCTTAAAAAGCAAGTGAATTAAATAAGGTATATCTTGATTTTTCCATTTTCAATAATAATAAATATCAACAAGGTTAAAATATGTGAGAATTGACTAATGATTCATGATACCAAATAACTTTTTTCTGATGAATATCAGTGCCCCCAAAATAAGTTTTTCCCTTAAGATGAAAGTAGTTTCTACTACTTGATGATAACCAGACAAGAATGCCAAATTCTGAATGATTTGTATATGTTTCTGTTATGCTTTGGGGGCTCAGCTAGAACTGCATCAATTTCTTGAATATTTAGAGATAAAGATAGACTCTTGCTTCCTCTTACTTTTATAAACCAATCTGTGAGCTAGTAGGAGATACAATCAGATAAACCCAAATTAAATAGTCAATACCTTTGAATAATCACTTTCTAGATATGCAAATTGCCGATCAGGTGATAAACCATAATTTGAAGCATTCACACTTTTCTGAAATTATGAAGAAGTTGATTAGAATACAGAAAAAGTAACAGAGCCATATAAATTTGTAGTTCTAAAAGAACATTATATCATCCATATCCTCCAACATATACATTCAAAGCAATTTTTTTAAAGTTTAAGTAGTACCTACTGTATACAAAGAAATTTACTACACATTAGGGGATGAGGATGTGATAAATAGGATATACTTTGTGATTTCAAGAAGCTTATAATAGTAAACTTCTAAATAAATAACATTACAATTTAGAAAATTTTATAAAAGAGATATAACATTGCAAAAGTGTTAAACAGGAAGTGATTGAATGCAAATGATAAGATGGTTTGTTGCACAGAGGAGAAATAGCTGAGCTTGACTCTAAAAGATTACTAGGCTCTTGAAGGTAGAGAAAGTAGGAGGTCTGAGAGTCCAGGAGGACAGAATAACATGTTCCTATGTATCATAGGACCAGCCACTGAGCCTTTATTAGGTACTATCTAAGCACTTTCAAATGATACTTCATTTAATTCTTATACTAACCCAAAGAGGTATTATTATTCCTACTTTACAGAGGAAGAACCTGAGGCATGATGAGGATGGAATAATGTGGAATCTTACCCAAGGCTCCATAACTAGTAAATGACAGAGCCAGGATTTGAACCTCAGTTTGCCTGACTACAAGAACTGAGTTTGTACATTTTATCTCATAGGATACCTGTTCCACAGAGGAAGGAAAATGCTAGGTGATTTGAGCGGGCAAGGGCAATAATCTAGTGTGACTAGAAGAGAGAATGGGAGGATAACTGTGGTGGGGGATGGAGCTGAGAAGGCAGGTTGGGTCCAGATCAGGTGCTCAGTTGTTTGGACTCTGTTCTTTGGTCAGTGAAGAGCTGACAGAGGTTTTTGAGGAGGAAGATAATGGAGGATACATACCATGGTGGTATTACTCAAAATAGTATATGATTCTCCTGTTTCAATATTATAAAATACTATATTATTATCTGTAGATTGATGAAGATATTCTTGTCCTTTAAACAAGAAGGAAAACAAAACTTGAAATGATCTCCCTTAACAGGAAATACATTTATAACAAAGAGAAACCTCTCTTATTTCACATACTGACTTTCTTTTTCCTCTCTGTCTGGTACATATTGCCTTGTCAAATTTCAAATATGATAGTAAGTTGATGGTGGAAGGGAGGAAAGGGTTGTTTTTCTACATTACACAAAAATGCCATATTTACTAGTAGGAGCCTTATTCTAACCAGTTCAGGGTGCTTAGGAGTAAATTTGGACTTTTTCTGTGTTACAAAGAGAATAAACCAGTTTAAAATTGTATGTTTCTTCTGCAATAAAAAAATATATATTCCATTTAGGCTGTGTTTGACTTAGTTAAAAACCTATTTTATATGGTTATTATTTTCTAAAGAGAAAATGAAAATATTCTATTGTGTTTAGTGGCACTTTAGATATAAATTATATATAATATAAACAATTTAGTTGCTCTTACCGCTTGTTTGATTAGACTCTTTTGACAACATACTATTTTGAAAAACTATACGTAAATATCAATTTTATGGACCTTAATGGATTTGTCTTCAAGTTAGGATTTGTTCATTTCTCAGGTTATCTAGGTTAACAATGGAATTTTTCTTTTGGTAAAATTCTCATGACCTCTTCTAAATAGGTGCTTATTTCCCATTCTGAAAAGCTCTATCATATGATCAGTTTTTTCTAACAGTGCACTCTCAGATTTTACTGTTCTGCTAAAGCTACTACTGTATTGGCCTCATTACTATTGGACAAACCCTGTCTAAATAGTTCTGTGAAAAAATGTTTTGTTGGCCACTTGACTTATCTAAATAATTGCTGTTTTTATCCATTTCAACTAAGATGGCTTATGTTACCATAGAGAATTGTTGGCAATAAAAATAAAAACCAAAAATCATACATTTAAAGAAAAACAAAAGGTAAAGAAATAATTCACTTACCTGAAATCCAGTTTGGAAAAAATGTTTTATAAGAAAATGTCCCATTTAAAATATCCTTCAGTGTGAGTGCTCTTGTTGTCCTTCCTTCAGAGTTATGAACTTTGGGGGAGGAGGAAACATATTATTACTTAAAAGAAGATGAATAACTCAAACGTCTCTCATCTGTTATTCCTCATATAATGAAAAGATCTGCCATTGCTAAATCCTTGTTTAACTCTTGTCTTAATAGCTCTGAGTAGTATTTCCTTTTTGATAGACAAGCTAATGAGGCTTAGAGAAGTAGTCTGACTGCCTGGAAAGGGACACTGGTGGGAAAATTTGAGGAGTGTGACGGGGACCACACTGAGAAGCAGGGACATTATTCTTCAGACAGTGAAGAATTTTCAGAGATTTTTAAGAAGAAAGATGAGATGAGGTTCCGATAACTCTAGGTCTTGCAAAGCTGGGATTGCAGACCATGCAGGTTTCACTAAAAACTTTGCCTTTTAAGCAGTTCATTGTAGTTCCTCACATATGCTTGCCTTGGATTTCTACTGATTTATCAGTGATATAGTTCAGCATCCCAGTTGATCAGATGACATCATCCAGAATCCTTACCTTCAGACATCTCAAGAGAGGCATTAATGAAGGTAGATAATTTCTTATCCTGGCTAGGGGTTTTTATAAAGAGAAAATGGACCAGAAGAAAAGAAAACCACATCATCTATACAAATGATCTTGGAAATTCCAAGAGTAGAGGTTTTCCATATAAAAACTAACCTAAAGTAGCTCACAAACCACAAGCAAATTTCTCCTGTATTTGAGCCCTCCAAAACAATTTTATGTTTCAAACGTGATTTCCATTATCAGAACAAATTCATTATAGAGCCCTGAAACAGTCAGATATACCAGAAACTGTGGCAACCAACTTCCAAACCTTCTTCAATCCATATTCCTGTTCTCCATCCCTCCCACCTTACCCCTTCTCCAGGCCATCACTTACAGAATCAAAACTTAGAAAAGTGTCCTATACCTTGAATAGCATATATGAATCTGGTATTTGTTCATGTAAAAATAAAACTGTCAAAGATGAGCTATACATTTATATCTTCCTGCTAAACTCTTCCACAGCTTTCTATGACTCTTAAGATAAAGACCAAAAATGTTAGTCTGGACTATAGGCCCTAGCTGGTCTGGAATGGTCTACCTCTCCAGCCCCTTCTTGCCCCACTCTCACTACTTTGTAGACTCCAAACATGCTGGGCTTTCTGTTTCTCAAATACTGATTTCTTTCTCCAGGGCTACTGAACCTCTTCCCACCCTCTCCCTTCTCCTTATAACTTCTCTTCAGCCTTTAGTGCTTAATATAAGTGCCACTTTCTCTGGAAAGCCCTTCCTGATCCCCTGGTTTAGGTCTGGTTCCCTTCTTATATATTACCATAGGCCAGGTTCCCTTTTTTAAGAACATTTGTCTTGGTTTGTAATCTTGTATGTATTTGAGTGATTATTTTATTCATATTTCTTCACCTCCCACTGTATTCTCAAAACAGTCACCATAGGCCAGAGACCATGTCTAAGTTTTGCTCACCGCCACATCCCTAGTGTCTAGCACATAATAGGCATTTAATAAATACTTGTTGAATGAATGAATTCATGAAATGAAGGATTGATGGGTGGATGGATGAGATTTGTGTCCTCTTCTTTACACAATGGTTCTACTACTAATTTCCTATATGACTTAAGTAAGTTAATCTCTGGCATCACAGCTTGCTCATCTATAATACAAAGGACTGGACTAGAAAATGCTGATAATACCTTCCAATTTTACCACATTAGGTTTTGAAATTTGAGACACAACATGCTCTATTAACCTTATAGTCACATAAATGCACTGCCATGTGATAAGGTCGAACTGACCAACTGGATAATAGCATCTTCTGCAGTTTTAACTGATTCACACTGATGTATGTATGCTCCATACTTTTGATTAGGACCATGAGTTATTTTCTCAATTTACTAAAACTTATCCTGTAGCTATAAGAACATAAGTGGCTGATGAACCCCTAGGCAACCAGGCACTAAATACTTAATAACATTAGATTATTCTAATAATCATCTTTGTACAGGTTCTTTGCATCCTAAGTAAGGTTGTACATGCCATACAATTATTCATAATGAAAGTGCTTCTATTTAATTAAATGGTCTTGTGCAAAATTCATACCACTGATTTTATAATTCCCATTCTATGAATAAAATACTACCATTTTACTGCAACAGCATTAGTATAATTGCTAAGTATTTTAATTCAATTTTATTTAACTCTTTTCAGAGCAAATTGTAATCTGTTTCTATATACAAGGGGAAATTCTAACACTATTTACAATGGAAATTATTTTCCTTTTGAGATATATTTAATTTGTGTCCTCACAACCCTGAACATATAGATGAAAAAAATTTTAATTTAGAGAATTCCTGTATTGTGAATACCAAAAAACTAGGTAACTGTTTTTCTTTAAACTTTTTTCAATATTAATTCAATAAATGAATATAGTCTTGGTGATATCTTTTTTTGTCTAGCATAAATAATGGTTTGATTATGGATAATGACTTATATAATAGATTTTCCTATTTAAGTATCCTTGCATATAATTTTCCTTACTTGCAATTATGTTTAATTGAGAAATTCTTAGCTATAATTAATCTTCATTTTTATAGAAGGTTAAATTAAGTGAGCTAATTCAAATGAAACGTTTAGCTCTATGCTTGGCAGTCAATAAATGTTAGCTTTTGTTATTGTCATAGCTTATCAGTAGTCTTCAAATAAATATATATTTTTTTAAACAAATATTTTTGATCATTGTTTCTCAAACTAATTTGACCACTGGGATTTTTGTTTTAATATCTACTAAAATCACAGTATGGGAAATGCAGTTTCAGATTAAGCTATTAGTATATGTAATTAAGGTTAACTTTTATTCTAATATAATGGAATTCATCAGTTATACTTAGAACATCTTGGTCATCCTAGGGCTCTGTAAGTGAAATAGTCCAATTATGATCATAAATAGGGTTAGTACTAATATCCCACAAATGAATAAATAAAATTGATAAAAAAAACAAGAGTTTCAAATTATTTAAAAAATTCCTACTCATTTTCCTTTTTTAACATTAATGATCATGCTGATCCTTATCAGATTTCCCAAAAAGATTTCAAGGGTTAGTTATTTACTCTTTTTAACCTCTAATTTAGATTATCCTCAAAAGTTACATGAGATTATATTTCATATTACTTCCCAGTTAGTCATTTATTTTAAATGGGTGCATAGTAGCTATAAATACCAATGATCTATATAGAGAACTTAACATATGTCATATTATAACTCAATATCTATAAAGCAGTTTAAATATATATTAATTGTACTACTAATTACTGTCATGATAATAAGCCCCACCAGCGCCAATGAAGTGATAAGGGGATATACAGAACACATCCAGAGGAGCCAGCTGTGTTTATGTGGAAATAGGCTTGTGGCACAGATTTGGGGTAGGTGATTACTCCTAACCTCACATGGGCTCAGAAGGTGTGATTATCCTGGCATCAGGCTGGGCTCAGAGTGATACCAAATCAAATGGGTAGAATTTAAATTAGGCATTCTTTTCTTCCTGCGAAAATGATCACGTGTTCATAAATGCAATAGAGTAATGTATCTACTCTAAGACAATGCTTTAGGTCACATATTAAGAGTTATAAGACATGTACTTAGAATTTCCAATCCAAGTTCTGGTTCTTTGTACCAGCTAGGACAGTGCTCGGCATACAGTGGAAGCATGATAAATATTTGTTGAATGAAAAAATAAATCAACTGGACAGATTTTATTTTAGTTTGTTTTCAGTAATTCTCCCCCAAAGATACACCTGCCCTTACTCTTTATCCTCCTGTCCATGTTGTAAATTTCATGTATAATTCTACCTGGACATGCCATCCTTTAAATATGTATCAAAATTTTGTCCTTCAAGTTAGCTGGAGTACTTGTTTGAAAAGCAAGTTTCCCAGTCCTTATCTCAAATCTACTGATTCAGAATCTCTGGGGATAAGGCCCTGATTTTCAGTTTTTACCAAGCCCCACAGGTGATTCTTCTGCAAAGAATCCAAATTCAGTGATTTCACTGAATCTATTGTACTTGGTTCGATGTTCTCCTGTGCCTGTCGGTGGAATTGCTCCTTGCTTATAAACCCCTGGTAGGTGGATGGGTCTGGCCTGCGTAGCAATTCACACTTCATGGACAGACTCCCCACAGCTAATGTTAATCATGGCTTTCAAGGAATGTTAACGGTCGCCTGTAATGTTTATGTCCCTATTCAGTCCTCTTGCTCATTGTCCAGATAGACTCTTCCTTAGGTACATTCCCTCCGCTGATCCTTGAGCAGTGGAGAAAGGGCAAAGGGAGTGATTCTGCCCCAGATTAGATTTAAACAAGATAACAGGGAAAGCACTGGTAGGGGAAGGGGTCATTGTTTTCTAGTGTTTTGAATGTGTGTATGTGTGTGTGTGTTTCTGTGTAAGTCAGTATAAAATGCATCTCTATGGCATCAATCACACTAAACAAGTTCTAGTCACCTGAAAAATATTCCACTAATAATTACTTTTTCCAAATAATGTTTTAATGTTGAATTATGATCATTTGATTATTTTGGAAGTTTAGTTTTGGCATCTATAATTTTTAAACTCTAAGTAGCTGAGCAGAAGTAGAAAAGAATTCTGAGAGCATATCTCTCTTCTATACGTAACTGACACCACTTAACACTTAATTCTTGATAGAGCCCCTATAGTCAATTTGGCCCATCTTTAGCACAGTTATTTATACACTGCAAAACACTCCAATTTACTATAGTTTAATTATTTGCATTTTCAACTTTTTAAAGCACAGCTGGAAATTATTTCAATTATGAATCCAAGAAATGACAATTCACAGAAATGATTCCCAAGTAAATAATGATTCACTATTCTCCTAATTCTTTCTTAAAACTTTGTATTTATTCTTTATTAGGGTTCTATTTCTATTTCTGCCATTTAATTTTCTAGTCCTAAAAAATTACAAATAAGTATCAGAACAGAGA